AGGAACAGGCCGGACCGGGCTGGCGACGCGCACCACTGGCTTGGTGCGGGGAGCAGGAACAGGCCGGACCGGGCTGGCGACGCGCACCACTGGCTTGGTGCGGGGAGCAGGAACAGGCCGGACCAGGCTGGCGACGCGCACCACTGGCTTGGTGCGGGGAGCAGGAACAGGCCGGACCGGGCTGGTGACGCGCACCACTGGCTTGGTGCGAGGGACAGGAACAGGCCGGACCGGGCTGGCGACGCGCACCACAGGCTTGGTGCGAGGGACAGGAACAGGCCGGACCGGGCTGGCGACGCGCACCACAGGCTTGGTGCGGGGAGCAGGAACAGGCCGGACCGGGCTGGCGACGCGCACCACAGGCTTGGTGCGGGGGACAGGAACAGTTCGGGCCGGACTGGGAACACACACCACTGGCCTTTTTTATTGGGGTTGCCTCTCGCGTGTCCGTCGTCGGCACGGTTGGCGCCGTTTCTCCTCTCCTGCCTGGGCATTTACTTTTGCCCATGGCCCTCTGCCCGCGAATATGTCCTCCCATGACCACCATTCGCCCACCTGAGCCATCGCCCTCTTCTCCTCCTGGGCACGCTGCTTGGTCCTCTGGTGGTGGGATCTTCTGTCACGATCGCTGACTGAAGCGGACCAAGGCGCAGCGTGATAAGCGTACATTCTTTATTTAGTACACACACGAACCAAAACAACAAACGAAACCATACGTGAAGTCCTAGGTTATACACAAAACCTTACGGAACAAGATCCCACAACCTAACATGCCACAAGGCTGCCTAAGTATGGTCCCCAATCAGAGACAACGAGCTACAGCTGTCTCTGATTGGGAACCACCCTGGCCAACATAGAAACTAAACGATCTAGAACCAAAAACTAAGAAAACTAAACATAGAAAATCCACACCCTGGCTCAACATTTAAGAGTCCCCAGAGCCAGGGCGTGACAAAATGATTATTTCATGAATGATTTTGTTGTGTGAAAGCCTTCAAAAGACAGTAAAAGCTTTGACATTTTCCCTGTAAATAATGTGTCTGCTATGCATACAGGCATTTACAGGGATAACAAGCATAATTACAACCATCATTACCGTGTCTTATAAAATGTACATTACCACAAGTAATTATTGAAATTATTGCTTCAACTTTGCTAGTGGGCTTCATGATTTCATTGTGGTCCTCAACCAATCAGGCTGCATGCATGATTCGTTTTCATGCAGAATAGAATACATGCAACAATTTCAAAGATTTTACTGAGTTACAGTTCATATAAGGAAATCAGTCAATTGACATAAATTCATTAGGCCATAATCTACGGATTTCACATGACTGGGAATACAGATATGCATCTGTTGGTCACAGATACCTTTAAAAAATGGTAGGAGCGTGGATCAGAAAACCAGTCAGTATCTGGTGTGACCACCATTTTCCTCATGCAGCGCGACACATCTCCTTCGCATACAGTGGCTTGAGAAAGTATTCACCCCCCTTGGCATTTTTCCTATTTTGTTGCCTTACAACCTGGAATTAAAATTGATTTTTTGGGGGGGTTGTATCATTTGATTTACACAACATGCCTACCACTTTGAAGATGCAATATATTTTTTATTGTGAAACAACTTTAGCGTGCATAACTATTCACCCACCCACCCCAAAGTCATTACTTTGTAGAGCCACCTCTTGCAGCAATTACAGCTGCAAGTCTCTTGGGGTATGTCTCCATAAGCTTGGCATATCTAGCCACTGGGATTTTTGCCCATTCTTCAAGGCAAAACTGCTCCAGCTCCTTCAAGTTGGATGGGTTCCGCTGGTGTACAGCAATCTTTAAGTCATACCACAGATTCTCAATTGGATTGAGGTCTGGGCTTTGACTAGGCCATTCCAAGACATTTAAATGTTTCCCCTTAAACCACTTGAGTGTTGCTTTAGCAGTATGCTTAGGGTCATTGTCCTGCTGGAAGGTGAACCTCCGTCCCAGTCTCAAATCTCTGGAAGACTGAAACAGGTTTCCCTCAAGAATTTCCCTCTATTTAGCGCCATCCATCATTCCTTCAATTTTGACCAGTTTCCCTGCCGATGAAATACATCCCCACAGCATGATGCTGCCACCACCATGCTTCACTGTGGGGATGGTGTTCTCGGGGTGATGAGAGGTGTTGGTTTTGCGCCAGACACAGCGTTTTCCTTGATGGCCAAAAAGCTAAATTGTAGTCTCATCTGACCAGAGTACCTTCTTCCATATGTTTGGGGAGTCTCCCACATGGCTTTTGGCGGACACCAAACGTGTTTGCTTATTTTTTTCTTTAAGCAATGGCTTTTTTCTGGCCACTCTTCCGTAAAGCCCAGCTCTGTGGAGTGTACGGCTTAAAGTGGTCCTATTGACAGATACTCCAATCTCCGCTGAGGAGCTTTGCAGCTCCTTCAGGGTTATCTTTGGTGTCTTTGTTGCCTCTCTGATTAATGCCCTCCTTGCCTGGTCCGTGAGTTTTGGTGGGTGGCCCTCTCTTGGCAGGTTTGGCAGGTTTGTTGTGGTGCCATATTCTTCAAAGTTTCAGATATTTTTTTATAACCCAACCCTGATCTGTACTTCTCCACAACTTTGTCCCTGACCTGTTTGGAGAGCTCCTTGGTCTTCATGGTGTGGTTGCTTGGTGGTGTCCCTTGCTTAGTGGTGTTGCAGACTCTGGGGCCTTTCAGAACAGGTGTATATATACTGAGATCATGTGACAGATCATGTGACACTTAGATTGCACACAGGTGGACTTTATTTAAATAATTATGGGACTTCTGAAGTGTGTGAATACATATGAACGCATCACTTTTCCGTTATTTATTTGTTCGAATTTTTTGAAACAAGTAATTTTTTTCATTCCACTTCACTAATTTGGACTATTTTGTGTATGTCCATTACATGAAATCCAAATAAAAATCCATTTAAATTACAGGTTGTAATGCAACAAAATAGAAAAAACGCCAAGGGGAATGAATACTTTTGCAAGGCAGTGTAGAGTTGATCAGGCTGTTGATTGTGGCCTGTGGAATGTTGTCCCACTCCTCTTCAATTGCTGTGTGAAGTTGCTGGATACAGTGGGGAAAAAAAGTATTTAGTCAGCCACCAATTGTGCAAGTTCTCCCACTTAAAAAGATGAGAGAGGCCTGTAATTTTCATCATAGGGCCATGCATTATCATGCTGAAACATGAGGTGATGGTGGCGGATAAATGGCACGACAATGGGCCTCAGGATCTCGTCACGGTATCTCTGTGCATTCAAATTGCCATCAATAAATGCAATTGTGTTCGTAGTCTGTAGCTTATGCCTGCCCATACCATAACCCCACCGCTACCATGGGGTACTCTGTTCACAACGCTGACATCAGCAAACCGCTCACCCATACCCAACGCCATACACGTGGACTGTGGTTGAGGCCGGTTGGACGTACTGCCACATTTTCTAAAACGACATTGGTGGCGGCTAATGGTAGAGAAAGGAACATTAAATTCTCTGGCAGCAGTTCTGGTGGACATTCCTGCAATCAGCATGCAAATTGCACGCTCCATCAAAAGTTGAAATATCTTTGGCATTGTGTTGTGCGACAAAACTGCACATTAGAGTGGACTTTTATTGTCCCCAGCACAAGGTGCACCTGTGTGATGAACATGCTGTTTAATCAGCTTCTTTACATGCCACACCTGTCAGATGGATGGATTATTTTGATATAATAATAATAATAATAATAATAATGAGAAATGCTCACTAACAGGGATGTAAACAAATTTGTGCACAACATTTGAGGTAAATAAGCTTTTTGTGCTTATGGAACTATTCTGGGATCTTTTATTTCAGTAGAAAGCCAGTATGAGGGTTTGTGCTCAGGCTAGAATGATAGGCGGCCAGTGTGTGGGAGTGAAAATATCTATAAAGTACTCTCACTCAAAACCATGAAAAGCAATAACCCAAGGAGTCCGAGACGCAAAAATAATATAATGAATTTAATGCATGCTTGAAAGAATACAAAAAGTGAAAGTACAAGGTGCTATATAAAAATACAATCAAAAAGCAACGGAGCATATGTTTCGTCCTTATGCCTTCATCAGTGCTGTACAAACAAATTAAGAAGACAAGTACTTAAAACACCTGCTGTGCGCAACAGGCGCAAGCAGATAGTTAATTAGAGACTGGCGAATGGGGAGTCAAACCATATTAACAAGGAATATATAGAAGAGTATAAAAGATGGACAATTCAAATGTCACATATAATTGGAAAGAGACAACATTCTGGGCTACATAGCAATATCAGAAGCAATAGATATGAAATACTCAAGTGGGTGGGATGGGGGACTGCTGTTGCGTGTAGACAACACTACTGGAAACATACAAGGTCCAATTCCTCATTAAGCCCTTGGGGGTGTAGAGTTTTTAAGTAGACACTCATCCGTATTGCGGCATCTGCGGCTTGAGAAAACACGGTCAATGGCAGCGAACTTAAGATCAGTCACAGCATGATTAGCCTCATGAAAATGTCTGGCCACTGGTGATTTTAGGTCATTTCTTCGGATGACACTGCAATGCTTGTTGATGCGTAACTGTAGTTGTCTGCGCGTAATGTTAGTGTATGGACAAGACAGTAGATGCCCTACATTGTTAGATCGACATGTAATGAATCTATTAATGGTGTATTCTTTATTTGTGACGAAAGATCTGAAGGTGTGGCACTTTTTAAAACCTGTACAGGCAGCACAATCTTTTATTTCAGCTCATGAAACATGGAACCAACACTTTACATGTTGTGTATATACTTTTGTTCAGTGTACAATAATTTAGGATCTACATCATTCACTTGTTTGAATGCCATTATTTTACATTTATGAGCATTTTATCCTCATTGTTTGTCACAAAAACTTCCCCAACCCCTGTGCCTTGACTCTTCCAGGGTAAGCTGCTAAGTGGCTGGTACCCAGGGCTCCCTACTGCTGTGTAGTTCATCGGTTACAGTATGGACGGCAGTGGCAGTGGCTGGACTGGAGGTCTGCTGCCCTCTGTAGGCGAGGAGGCAACTAAGGAGCACTCAGTCTTTGAGGTGGCTGTCCAGAACGGCTCGGCCAACCACAGCTCCCTGTTTGCAGACGTGGCTCTGCTGCAGAGCTTCAAGCTGCTCATCATCCCATGCTACACCCTGGTGGTGGTGGTGGGTGTGTTGGGGAACTACTTGCTACTCTACGTCATCTGCCGCACCCGCAAGATGCACAATGTCACCAACTTCTTCATCGGGAATCTGGCCTTCTCAGACATGCTGATGTGTGTGACCTGTGTACCATTCACCCTGGCCTATGCCTTTAACCCCCGTGGCTGGGTGTTTGGCAGGTTTATGTGCTACCTGGTGTTCCTGATCCAGCCAGTCACCGTTTACGTGTCTGTCTTCACCCTCACTGCCATCGCTGTCGACAGGTGGGTGGGTCCCTCTGACTTGAGATAACAAAAAGCCCATCGGTTTTGACTGGGTAGTTTCAAATGAACTGAAATACATGAATTGTGGAAGAATATTCTCTAGAATAATGAAATTGTAATTATTGATCTTTATGAAAATGTTTTTCAAAACAAAACATTAATTAATATTACTGTCCCTTTGTGTCCCTGCCAGGTACTATGCCACTGTGCATCCTCTGAAAAAGCGCACCTCGGTGGCCACCTGTTCCTACGTGCTGTCAGGGATCTGGCTGCTGTCCTGTTGTCTGGTGGCTCCAGCTGTGGTCCACACCTACCACGTGGAGTTCAGAGAGGAGGGCCTCACCATCTGTGAGGAGTTCTGGCTGGGTCAGGAGAAGGAGAGGCTGGCCTACGCCTACAGCACCTTGCTGGTTACCTACGTCCTGCCACTCTCTGCTGTCTGCGTCTCCTACCTCTGCATCTCTGTCAAGCTGAGGAACTGCGTGGCACCGGGACATCGGTCCCGAGACCAGGCAGAGGCACAGCGAGCCCGGAAGCGGAAGATCTTCCGTCTGGTGGCGCTGGTGGTGGCGGCCTTCGGGGTGTGCTGGCTGCCCATTCACGTGTTCAATGTACTGCGTGACATCGACATCCGCCTCATCAACAAGCGCCACTTCTTGCTTATCCAACTGCTGTGCCACCTGTGTGCCATGAGCTCGTCCTGCTGTAACCCCTTCCTGTACGCCTGGCTGCACGACCGCTTCCGTGCCGAGCTGAGGAAGATGTTCACCTGCCACCGCCGCATCGGCATCCCTGCCAACCACTGTGCTACGGCCAGCGTGGCCCTGTGACTGTGCAGGGACAAGGAGAGAGAAGAGACAGAAGGTCTCTGATACCTGTGTAAACATGTTGTAGAGCCAATTTTCTGATTATTTGCTGTTAACCTAATGTGGACATGACAATAGTTCATTGTGACTCACAGCTGATTACAGAGATATTAAGTGGTTCCCTAATCATTGTTCAATGAACCAATCAATTGAACATGCATGAGGTGATTGCCTGGAAAGAATGAATGAACTGATTGAATGTCTGATGAATAATATGAAGGTAAAACACAAGAGAGAAAAAAGCGAGAGAAAGAATAAAGAGAGAGGGAAGGAGAGGGAGAAAGAGGAGGGGAGGCGAGGTGACAGGACCACCAAACATATTTTTGTTAGAGGCAATTATGCTCAGCCACAGTCAATGTTTAACACAAGGACACATCACAAGCAGGAGATTCATCTGCAAAAATGAGAGGTTTGGTGGATAATTTCAAGGCATCTAAGTACTGTTCACACAATAGTTGCTTGCTACATATGTGTATCATCCCCCATAACTCCAGATGGACAGCTGTCTACTGAGGTTAGAGGGAAGTATTCACTGAACTGACAATACAATGTCAATGAGCTCACTCTCTGCTCTGCTTCTTCTGCTGTGTTAATAGTGGTACTTGCCTACAGAGCAGCAAGAGCAACTCCCTACCTTCAAGCTATGCTCAAACCCTACACCCCAACCCGAGCACTCCGTTCTGCCACCTCAGGTCTCTTGGTCCTCCCACCCCTACGGGAGGGCAGCTCCCGCTCAGCCCAGTCCAAGCTCTTCTCTGTCCTGGCAACCCAATGGTGGAACCAGCTTCCTCCTGAAGCTAGGACAGCAGAGTCTCTGCCCAGCTTCCGAAAACATCTGAAAACCCACCTCTTCAAAAGAGTATCTTAAATAATCCCACAACAACCACCCTCTCACTCCCTCCTCACCCTGACCCCCAGCCCCACCCCCCCCTTAACTAGCTCTGACTTTTCTGATAGCTACTTTGAGGAAAGATTTACTTAATATGACAGTGACATGTGGTTGTCCCACCTAGCTATCTTATCTCTAGATAAGAGCATCTGCTAAATGACTCAAATGTAAATGTAAATAGTCAATGCAGGTTTGGTCCCCAGACTTGTGTTTGGCATTGGATGACATGTTGAATGACATGAATACAGATCATCTCAGTCTCCACTCTGTGAATAAACATGCTTAATAAAACAGTACGTGGTATTTGTTCCCCCGTGGTTAAATCCCTATTTTTATTGCAGTCTTATCAGTGTTACCCATCTTTGTCTCTGGGGAAAATAGTCATTTAAAATTAGCTGTTTGTGTGCCTCCCGAGTGACGTAGCGTTCTAAGGCACTGCATCACAGTGTTGCAGCGTCACTACAGCCTGGGGTTCGATCCCAGGCTATGTCACAACCAGGACGGCGCACAATTGCCCTAGTGTCGTCTGGATTAGGGGAGGGTTTGGCCGAAGGGGCTTTACTTGGCTCTTCGCGCTCTAGCGACTCCTTGTGGTGGGCCTGGCGCCTGCCGGCTGACTTCGGTCATCAGTAGAACGGTGTTTCCTCCGACACATTGGTTCAGCTGGCTTCTGGGTTAAGTGAGCGGGTTTTAAGAAGCGTAGTTTGGCGGGTCATGTTTCGGGGGACGCATGACTCGACCTTTGCCTCTCCCGAGCCTTTGGGGAGTTGCAGCGTTGAGACAAGAATTGCAAATGGATATCATGAAATTGGGGAGAAAAAGGGAATAAAATACAAAAATGGAATGAGTTGTTTGTTAGGCATTTGCTGAGGTCATGCTTCCCACTGCATGACTGCATTACATTTTAACTGAGGTGTTGATTCTCATTGCTTTTTTAGACCAACCACAAGAAACCTCCCCACTTTCAATACATTAAGCAAAATGAAATGGTGGTTTGCTTTAGTTGTTGTGAATCCCTAATAAATGACCTTCTGTGGTTTGTGTCATGCCATATAAAATGCCTGTCCTTAAGTGATTACATGCAATTATGTGTAAAATTCTGAATAAACAAACACTGAGAATTGGCCAATTGTTGATTGAATTTCCTTTGGAAAAGCTAATAAGCTTAATGTATTACAGATGGCAAATGTCTTAATTCATTAAAAACGTAATTAAATCACAGAACAATATAGAACAATATTTACACAGTATTGATTCATATACATTAATTAGGCCATATCACTTAAATGCAATGTTCGTTTTTAGGCATCGTTTGTAGACGTAAAGACCATATGAATAGACTGAAAGGGAGTAAATGGAACATTTAGAGGCAAGACTGCAGGTAACTAGAGAACAACTAGAATGCACTAATCCAAGTACAAGTTAAAAAATATATATATATTTTATTGCAACAAGTAAACAGTGATCTATATGACTGTCCACAAATCCCATCTGAGGTTGCTGTGGTCACGTATGGTTGCCATGGTCACATATTAGGGATTTTATATTCTGTTAATGCGTTAGGCCTATGCCTTGCAGTAATAATTCTCACACCACCCAATAGCATCCGAAACAATCCGGAGGGCAACAAACACACTAGAAACAATGTGGCTTCAGCAACATTGACATTGTGGCTGCGTTTACACAGGCAGCCCAATTCTGATAATTTATTTCACAAATTGTTATTTTGACCAATCAGATCAGCTCTGAAAAAGGTCTGATGTGATTGGTCAAAATACCAATTAGTGGAAAAATGATCAGAATTGAGCTGCCTGTGTAAACGCAGCCTATAGAGAGTTGAAATCTAGATGACCAATGCATAACTTTTGTACAAACTAAAGTCCCCCCCCTCAAATAAATTATAATATTTACACTACCGGTCAAGGGTAGTGTGGGAGTTTGTACTATTTCTTTATTTGTACTATTTTCTATATTGTAGAATAATAGTGAAGACATCAAAACTATGAAATAACACATATGGAATCATGTAGTAACCAAAAAAGTGTTAAACAAATCAATATATATCTTACATTTTAGATTCTTCAAAGTAGCCACCCTTTGCCTTGATGACAGCTTTGCACACTCTTGGCATTCCCTCTACCAGCTTCATGAGGTAGTCACCTGGAATGCATTTCAATTAACAGGTGTGCCTTGTTAAAAGTTATTTTGTGGAATTTCTTTCCTTCTTAATGCATTTGAGCCAGTCAGTTGTGTTGTGACAAGTTAGGGGGGTATACAGAAGATAGCCCTATTTGGAAAAAGACAAAGTCCATATTATGGCAAGAACAGCTCAAATAAACAAAGAGAAATGACAGTCCATCATTACTTTAAGACATAAAGGTCAGTCAATACGGAACATTTTAAGAACTTTGAAAGTTTCTTAAAGTGTAGTTGCAAAAACGATCAAGCGCTATAATGAAACTGGCTCTCATGAGGACCGCCACAGGAATGGAAGACCCAGAGTTACCTCTGCTGCAGAGGATAAGTTCATTAGAGTTACCAGCCTCAGAAATTGCAGCCCAAATAAATGCTTCACAGAGTTCAAGTAACAGACACATCTCAACATCAACTGTTCAGAGGAGACTGTGTGAATCAGGCCTTCATGCTCGATTGCTGCAAAGAAACCACTACTAAAGGACACAATTTTTCAACAAGACAATGATCCAACACACCTCCAGGCTGTGTAAGGGCTATTTGACCAAGAAGGTGAGTGATGGAGTGCTGCATCAGATGACCTGGCCTCCACAATCCCCTGACCACAACCAAATTGAGATGGTTTGGGATGAGTCAGACCGCAGAGTGAAGGAAAAGCAGCCAACAAGTGCTCAGCATATGTGGGAACTCCTTCAAGACTGTTGGAAAAGCATTCCAGGTGAAGCTGGTTGAGAGAATGCCAAGAGTGTGCAAAGCTGTCATCAAGGCAAAGGGTGGCTATTTGAAGAATCTCAAATATAAAACATATTTTGATTTGTTTAACACTTTTTTTGGTTACTACATGATTCCATAAGTGTTATTTCATAGTTTTGATGTCTTCACTATTATTCTACAATGTAGAAAATAGTAAAAATAAATGAAAAAACCTTGAATGAGTAGGTGTTCTAAAACCTTTGACTGGTAGTGTTTATATTTTAGGCTGACAGCTGTAGACCACAAAGAAATCAACACGACTGACTGTTTGGAAGAACACATTTAGGCTATAGTCTGTTCTACTGTGCCGTGACAATATTGACACTAATTAGGCGAGTGTGCTCTAAATAATTGACACCAGGCTGGGATGATGAACTGGGTTTAGGCCCCTGTAATTAGTCAAATAGATCCTTCGCAGAGAACCGCAAAGCAGAGGAGTCCTTTTGGCCACTTCAAACAGCAAATCAAGCCCAGATATCATACTGTGCTTGAAGTGCAGACCATTATGGTTTGCGTGCATCCAATTAGATGCAGTTAAAATGACCATCTATAGAATAATCTTTCAATCAAACTAATAAATTAAGGATATAATCACCATCAAACGAATGTAGGCCTGCCCTAAACACTGTGGGTGAGTGATGTGAAATCAGTGGACCTAATGTGTATGAACCAAAGGGAACAAGAGATTATTCAATATTCATGCAAATTATATATTTAGTCACAACTAGGTAACAAGTTGATGTTGCATCACAGTAAGCCAATGCCTCCTTAGCCTCAGTATAGTCTCTGATCTCCTGAGGAGTACGGATGTAACTATCAAACTCACTGTCTGAGATCTCCTCATCACCAGCCACCTCCACCATTGGGACCTGCACCATCCTTATCTTAGTGTACATCACAGAAGGCTGTTCAAACAAACTCCTCTTGCCCCTGTTCTGTGCTGAGTGTTTGCCTGTGTCAGCCTGGGGCAACCCCTCTATTACAACATTGTATGTCAGGTCAACATCTCCTTGTTGCTGGGCGCTCTCTGCATCTGGTTCCCCCACAAAGGGTTCTTGAAGGGTTTGTCCTGAGGTTTGGGATGGAACAGCCCCCTCCAGGCAGGGCGTGTTGGTGTGGGGCGGGAGTTCAGATTCAGAGGCCAGGGTGTCCTCGTGGCTGCTCAGGGCCCTCCTCAGCAGGGTGAATCTATGGTTCAGGATGCCATCTACCATCTGGATCACTGTCTGGAGTGACTTGCTGAACCTGGCCAGCATGTATTTGAGCTGGGTCTGGGTCGGCTTCAGGGACTGCCAGGCCAGAAAGATGGAGGCCGTGAGGATGGGGATAGGCTGGCGGCCGGTCACCAGCTAGGAATCTGCAGCCAGCTCCAACAGGACAACGGCTCGCTTTTTCAAATCCTTGGAGGACTCTGACAACTGTTAATGGACATGCTGAGTGCTTAGTTTGTTTCTGACAGAGAAAGCTGAAAATATTTGGTTTCTCAATAGGGCATTTCCATCTAAAAGGACCCATGAGCACCAACATGTGAAGTTCATAGGAGCATGTCTCAAGTGAAAAGCCTCAAGGGAAAGCTAGCAGTCTATATATATTTTTTTTATTAACCCGCTACAGACTAAGCCCTGTCTAAGCCGGGGGAGGGGGGTGGGGGGGGGGGGATGAGGGTTCTACTAAGCTATATGGAATTGTTTTAAGAAGGTCATACCAAGGATCATTTAGCTATTTGATTTTGAATTTTAAGACCCCTTGAAGTATAAAATAAATAAATAAAAATTATTAATGAAAATGTATTTTGGGCCTTACTCCTATTAGCCCATACAAATGCATTGAATAACAGATTCACTACATGGAACAACGTTAGTGGCAAAAAAATATCAAAATGAAGTTTGTTCTGAAGTGTCTGTCCTATATCTGAGAGATATAAGAAATATCAGGAAACAGTTATTCTGTTTTACATGTATTTAACCCCTTATTTTTGGCACTTAATATATATATCCATATATACTTCCATTATTTTTTTCAACTGGTACCAGGGGACCTTCAGACGAGCCTTGTGAGGCCTGTGGGCGTCTTAGAGCAAAACAGAGTCTCACCTTTCCAAAGACTAGTCATATTAGTGTGTAGCTCAAACTGTTCGGACGCTACAGACAGAAGTTGTCAGAGTCCCAATTCGCTTGTGGGGGGACGTAGAGCAAAACGGAGAATACCATCATGAGAGTCTCAACCGTTCGGAATCTACAGACAATTTTGTGGGAAGACCGATTTTCAGGATGTCTCATGGTCTGACAAACTCTGCTCTAGCTCTGTCACCTTTCACCGCAGAAGTGCTACATCGGCGGATGCAGTGGATCCAATGCAAAAAAAACGGATATCTCTAGCTTAAAGGAAAACTCCACCCAAAAACTATCTTTAGGTATTTGATTCATTAGTCCATTGTTGCAAAATGCATCATACAGGGATAATTTCTGTATTTTTAAAGTTACATATCTTGAAAACTTGATTGCTGACAAGCAATACATTTTGGGACTATGTTCACAATGGACTGTTGAAACAAATATCAAAAGATAGTTTGAGGGTGGAAATGTCCTTTAAACTGGGGATTTTTATGGGGATTTTTTTTATTATGCTAATTAGATTTCCACAGGGGCACGGACATCGACTCTAGGGGGTTAAGGTATATATACACATTTTCTACCATTTTCCAGAATAAATGCAATTAAATTGGCTACAATGGGAAATCATAGTAGTCACAAACCACAGTTGGGTCACCTGCTACTGTCCTCCCTTCCACTGGCATACTGTTGTGTTCAGCTCATAACTGTTTTCTTTCGCTTTCTGTCCTCTGGTGGTCAAAGCAAGACTGTGAAAACAGTCTGGACAACCCATCCCCCTCACTCTCACTCACTCTCTCTCTCCAGTTAATGTCACGTCTCCTGGCTCTTACCTACCACCTACCCTCTTTCCATTTACTTTAACAAGCATCCTCACTGAGCACCAACCGACACTGTACGTCCATGGACATTGAAAAGTAGTTGAAATTAGATTAGTCTGCCTAAATCTGAACCAATCATAAACGTCTATGTTTCAAAAGGTTTGGACAGCACAGTAGCGAACAGTACAGTACAGAACAGTACCGTAAAGTAACGAAAAGTAGAGTCGAGTACAGTACAGCACTGTACAGTAGAGTTCAGTACAGCATACTAGAGTACAGTATAATGTACTGAACATATCTACTCTACTGCACTCTAATGTGCTATGCTGTACTGTTCTGTACAAACTTGTGAAACATAAACCCTATTCGGACAGGACTAGTATTACTAGAGACGTTGGTTATGTAATTATTACCACAGCATGTACGTTATTCCAGAGGATGATTCGCACAGGATTAGTTTTTCCAAACAGACCCCTGTAAAAAAAAAAAAAAGTATTCAATTGACGGAAGCCTGGAGGTTTCTATTCTAGGCGTAAAGTTATTCAACATCATGTCTAGACAATAATAAGCTACACATACAACTCGTGCTTGGCTGCTAAAGGTAGCTATAGGTGTCCCCATAATATACAAATTGAGGAAGTGTGATCATGATCATTATTTTAGCGATCCATGGTAGGCATCCCTCCTAATGAAAATGTCCCCAATCCTGCTGATGTGAACTGCTGATCAGCACCCCGCACTTGCACTTGAGATGTGTTATGGGTGAGAATGTGAACTTGCCATTTCCCCAAAAAAATTGCTCAGTGGGGAAATCGTGGATGCCCTGCTTTGCAATATATTGCCTACTCCACAAGAAAGAGGATTTTGACACCCACCATCTCAGATTGTTCTGAAATAGTTTCTGTAGTTAGCAACAGATAAGATTAGCAATCCTGAAACATTTTGTTGAAATATAATTTGATCTGAGAAATTAAGCTAATTGATTGCACCCAAATTGGCCATTTTAATTTACAGGATTCATATAATCTTCAATAAATATAGTACCTAACATCCGATTTGGACCATCACTCTTCCTAACAATGAGAAAGACATGAGGAATCCAATAAAATTATCAATAGCCGCCAACAGACCATCCACACTCCACACCAATCCCACCCAAACAACCAGTATAAAGTATCCGTTCTCTATGTGCTGCTTGGAGTATTGCTACTTCAACCTTTGTAATGCATTCCCTGTGAATCTGGTGATGTTTTTTCCCCCCTGTTCAGAAAAATTAGCCATTGAAGTCACTTACATTCTTTACCATAAATGTGTGTGAAAGATGCCGCTGTTCCTGCTACTGCCACCACACCCTTTTATCCATTTTGCTGGTCTCTAACGTAGACGCAGAGAGTCAGGAAGCAAGTGCAGTTAGTGAGTTTAATACGAAGAACATGGAACGATACAAAACAAGGGAAGTGTCTAACATGGAAACATAAACAATATTGCCTGGTGGGTGATAACAAAGGAGTGCTAGATAAAGGGGAAGTAATCAGGGTAGTGATGGACTCCAGGTGTGCCTCATGATGGGGCGCAGGTGTGCGTAATGAGGACTGGTGATTAGTAGACCGGCGACATCGAGCGCCGGAGAGGGAGTAGATGTGACAGTACCCTCCCCGATGCGCGGCTTTAGCCGCAGGACGACGATGACGCCCAGGAGGACTTTCGTTTATTTAGCAAATATTTTCTTAACTCTATTTCTTGAACTGCATTGTTGGTTAAGGGCTTGTAAGAAAGCATTTCACGGTAAGGTCTACACCTGTTGTATTCAGCGTATGTGACGAATACAATTGTATTTGATTTTTTTTCTTGCACAAATTGCACGCATCACCTGTCAAACTCTGTAATGTCTCAAAACACAGAGATATTGCTATGTACAGGACTAGTATTATCAGAGGACGTTGGAGTTTGCCAAAAAACTGTAGGTTATTCTGTCTGGAATTGTTACTCTCCTGCCATGTAAAAATTACTGATATGGCAGATTCGGACAGGACTAATATTAAGGATGTGGTGTTTTGTGCTCCCTGCACATAATTACATTACCCAACCTCCCCCAGTAAAACTCATGTGGTGTCGAGAAAACGTTGCTAATTATGCTGTGAAAACAAGGAAATCCGCTGACGCTGTACTTTGATTATAAAGGTTTATTTATATCAAAGGGTTCCAGCTTCAATTTACAGATATCTGCAGAATATCTGGAGAATAACCGCCCAATCTCAAATATGATTATTCTGTCCTCCTTTGTTTTAACCAAGTATTTATATCCTATGACCTATGTAACATAATATGGGTGTTTTCCCTACAGACCAATCCCAGGAGGCCACCTAACAGACTTCCTCGGCTTTAGGGTGCCCCTATAGAACTACTCCCCAGATGCTCCCTTTAAGCTTAGTCAACATCCTCTAAAACCATTTGAAACCATTAGCAAAGTCATAAATTCCTCAGATACTACACTCACCATGAAAATAATGATATTGTTTGGCATCTGAGTCAAAGCGCAATTCCATTACTGTGGAATTGCCCAATAAGCATAAAATGTCTGCCTAATAACAACATGTATTTATTCAGACAATTTATTTATCAGGCAATCAAGGCTAATGCTTATAGTTGAGGTGATTGATTACACACTTACGCCTGACAGTGTGTCTCCAATAGGTCAATGATAGTGGTGGGGGAGCCATTATCTTCAGAGTCTTCAACATCTCCTGGTAGGCCAAGCCTATCAGCCTGGGGTTTGCCTCCAGGAGACAACTCATGGTTCCCATTGCGATGGGCCAGCTGTGCTGCCTGCAGGTCACCAGTACAGCATCCCACCAGAGCCTCGTTCTTCTGCAGGCTGACCCTGATGAAGTTAAGGTGCTCATTGGCCTGCTTGAAATAGGTCTCTACAGTCTCCTCCATGAGGAAGGTAAGTCTAAGAACGCAACAGAGAGCACCACCCGGTGTATGCCTGTTTTGAAGAAGTGATACAGTATTGTCAGCCAAACATTATTAAAAGACACAGTATTTTGTGATATCCAACCATCACATTGTGTCAGTTGTTCAACAGCAAGTTGAAGCAAACAGTAGTAGTAGTTCCCTACAGGGAAACTGCCGTTCCTACCTTTTATTTGATTCCGGCATGGCGTCTTGTCCACTTCTGTGCAATTACTGTATCTGACATCTACAGGAGCAAAACAAGCAGACAACGAAATACAAACAAAGTATTCAGTTAGCTTTACATTTTACATTTTAGTCATTTAGCAGACGCTCTTATCCAGAGCGACTTACAGGAGCAATTAGGGTTAAGTGCCTTGCTCAAGGGCACATTAACGTCATTTAGCAGACGCTCTTAGCCAGAGCGACTCACAAATTGGTGCGTTCACCCTATAGCCAGTGGGATAACCACTTTACAATTTGGGGGGGGGGGGGGGGGGGGGGGGGGGGGGGGGGGGGTTAGAAGGATTACTTTATCCTAGCTAAATCACAGTTACAAACTATAATGATTGACAGGGATGTTGAATTGCCTTACAGACCAAGACTCAAGCCTTACTGACTAACTTTCAATAGGAAAGCACATTCGTACAAGCATCTGCATAAATCATTTAGCTAAGAAGGTGACCGATCAACCATAGATAGTTAAAGTTAACTAGCTACCTGTGCCCTGTGTCTTCACTTCAGGTGGTGGTGAGTAGACCTTCGGATACCACAGCGCCACAATCTGGACAATATAGACCTGACGATAGTCGCGTCTATTATAGGCATTGGTTGAAGCTCAGTGTTCAATTCAAATCTCCCTATCATCATATCTAAGCCAATATGACACCAATCTCGATGAAAATTCGCAAATCAACTTGATTGGAGGTACACAACACACTCCCGCCTCTCGTCATGAGATATCCGTCCATTACCGAGAAGCACATACCAGACTTTTTAAACAGGGTCTTTAGCAACTGAGTTTTAAGAGGATTTCTTGCTCCTACCTAGCTCAAATTCTAGATAGCGGATAAAAATGAGACTGACCGTTGGATTAAAAAAATGTGTATTGACAAAGTGTGTAGGTGCAACCTGGTCTCAGAGCATTTCGTATTATTCTATAAGTAAATCCGTGATGCTCCATTTAGTATGCTATGATACCTTTGGTATGGTTATACAAAAGACAGATGGTTACTTAAGGTAACCCAACGGTTGCGAGTTCGAATCTCATCACGGACAACTTTAGCTAATTAGCAACTTTTCAACTACTTACTACTTTTTTAGCTCCACTCACACACACTTATTTTAATGTGTTAAGTGGCTCTTAAAAGAGCCTTTGGGTTCATGGAGAGGCATGCAAGTGGCAGTGAGTGTGGTGGTGTACTACTACTTGCGTCTTGCTAGAACAGAGGAGAGATCAGCTCTCACTCTCAAGGAAGAGGTCGTTGCCCTCATCCGTGAGATGCACGCCATCCCTATGGCAGGGTTTCCCAAACTCAGTCCTGGTGATCAGTAGGATTACAGTGGGGGAAAAAAGTATTTAGTCAGCCACCAATTGTGCAAGTTCTCCCACTTAAAAAGATGAGAGAGGCCTGTAATTTTCATCATAGGTACACGTCAACTATGACAGACAAATTGAGGAGAAAAAATCCAGAAAATCACATTGTAGGATTTTTAATGAATTTATTTGCAAATTATGGTGGAAAATAAGTATTTGGTCACCTACAAACAAGCAAGATTTCTGGCTCTCACAGACCTGTAACTTCTTCTTTAAGAGGCTCCTCTGTCCTCCACTCGTTACCTGTATTAATGGCACCTGTTTGAACTTGTTATCAGTATAAAAAACCTCAAACAGTCACACTCCAAACTCCACTATGGCCAAGACCAAAGAGCTGTCAAAGGACACCAGAAACAAAATTGTAGACCTGCACCAGGCTGGGAAGACTGAATCTGCAATAAGTAAGCAGCTTGGTTTGAAGAAATCAACTGTGGGAGCAATTATTAGGAAATGGAAGACATACAAGACCACTGATAATCTCCCTCGATCTGGGGCTCCATGCAAGATCTCACCCCGTGGGGTCAAAATGATCACAAGAACGGTGAGCAAAAATCCCAGAACCACATGGGGGGACCTAGTGAATGACCTGCAGAGAGCTGGGACCAAAGTAACAAAGCCTACCATCAGTAACACACTACGCCGCCAGGGACTCAAATCCTGCAGTGCCAGACGTGTCCCCCTGCATAAGCCAGTACATGTCCAGGCCCGTCTGAAGTTTGCTAGAGTGCATTTGGATGATCCAGAAGAGGATTGGGAGAATGTCATATGGTCAGATGAAACCAAAATATAACTTTTCGGTAAAAACTCAACTCGTCGTGTTTGGAGGACAAAGAATGCTGAGTTGCATCTAAAGAACACCATACCTACTGTGAAGCATGGGGGTGGAAACATCATGCTTTGGGGCTGTTTTTCTGCAAAGGGACCAGGACGACTGAACCGTGTAAAGGAAAGAATGAATGGGGCCATGTATCGTGAGATTTTGAGTGAAAACCTCCTTCCATCAGCAAGGGCATTGAAGATGAAACTTGGCTTGGTCTTTCAGCATGACAATGATCCCAAACACACCGCACGGGCAACGAAGGAGTGGCTTCGTAAGAAGCATTTCAAGGTCCTGGAGTGGCCTAGCCAGTCTCCAGATCTCAACCCCATAGAAAATCTTTGGAGGGAGTTGAAAGTCTGTGTTGCCCAGCGACAGCCCCAAAACATCACTGCTCTAGAGGAGATCTGCATGGAGGAATGGGCCAAAATACCAGCAACAGTGTGTGAAAACCTTGTGAAGACTTACAGAAAACGTTTGACCTGTGTCATTGCCAACAAAGGGTATATAACAAAGTATTGAGAAACTTTTGTTATTGACCAAATACTTATTTTCCACCATAATTTGCAAATAAATTAAAAAAAAATCTCATTTTGTCTGTCATAGTTGACGTGTACCTATGATGAAAATGACAGGCCTCTCTCATCTTTTTAAGTGGGAGAACTTGCACAATTGGTGGCTGACTAAATACTTTTTTTCCCCACTGTATGAGCTGGGATCTTATCAATAAATAAAACGAATGACATTGTGAGGGTTCACAAGTAGAGCATGTGTTATGCTGTATTATAATGTTGCATAATCAGCTTCCGGTGTAATAACCATGGAAATTAAAAACATGTTTTAAGTGAGAAGAAGGTATTGGTCTGAAGCCAAAAAATTAAGGAAATTCACATGAGCACAACAATGCCTATTCCACCCATGCTCTACCAAGTTTTTTTTTAGCACACAGCTTTACCACGACAGCTATGTTTGTATTGTACTTCAAACTATGTGTAGGCAGATTGCTTACAATTCAAACCTTCTCAAACAGCCTAATTCATATTCTTCAGAGGGATAATGGACTTACTGCTATTAAAATGTGTATATAAACTCAGCAAAAAAAGAAACATCATCTGTGTTTATTTTCAGCAAACTTAACATATGTAAATATTTGTATGAACATAACAAGATTCAACAACTGAGACATTAACTGAACAAGTTCCACAGACATGTGACTAACAGAAATTGAATAATGTGTCCCTGAACAAAGGGGTGGGGGGGGGGGGGGGGTGTAACAGTCAGTATCTGGTGTTGCCACCAGCTGCATTAAGTACAGCAGTGCATCTCTTCCTCATGGACTGCAGCAGATTTGCCAGTTCTTGCTTTGAGATGTTACCCCACTCTTCCACCAAGGCACCTGCAAGTTCCCAGACATTTCTGGGGAAATGGCCCTAGCCCTCACCCTCCGATCCAACAGGTCCCAGACGTGCTCAATGGGATTGAGATGCGGGCTCTTCGCTGGCCATGGCAGAACAATGACATTCCTGTCTTGCAGGAAATCACACACAGAACGAGTAGTATGGCTGGTGGCATTGTCATGCTGTAGGTGGCGAATCGCAGGTGGCGAATCGCATCTCTGCATGTCTGGCAGACATATCAGTATGGATGACGGATCACCACCTCAAGCTGAACCCTGGCAAGACGGAGCTGCTCTTCCTCCCGGGGAAGGACTGCCCGTTCCATGATCTCGCCATCACGGTTGACAACTCCGCTGTGTCCTCCTCCCAGAGTGCGAAGAGCCTAGGCGTGACCCTGGACAACACCCTGTCGTTCTCCGCCAACATCAAGGTGGTGACCCGCTCCTGCAGGTTCATGCTCTACAACATTCGGAGAGTGCGACCCTGCCTTACACAGGAAGTGGCGCAGGTCCTGGTCCAGGCACTTGTCATCTCCCGTCTGGACTACTGCAACTCGCTGTTGGCTGGGCTCCCTGCCTGTGCCATTAAACCCCTACAACTCATCCAGAATGCCGCAGCCCGTCTGGTGTTCAACCTTCCCAAGTTCTCTCACGTCACCCCCCCTCCTCCGCACACTCCACTGGCTTCCAGTTGAAGCTCGCATCCGCTACAAGACCATGGTGCTTGCCTATGGAGCAGTGAGGGGAACGGCACCTCTGTACCTTCAGGCTCTGATCAGTCCCTACACCCAAACGAGGACATTGCGTTCATCCACCTCTGGCCTACTGGCTCCCCTTCCTCTGCGGAAGCATAGCTCCCGCTCAGCCCAGTCAAAACTGTTCGCTGCTCTGGCACCCCAATGGTGGAACAAGCTCCCTCACGACGCCAGGACAGCGGAGTCACTCACCACCTTCCGGAGACATTTGAAACCCCACCTCTTTAAGGAATACCTGGGATAGGATAAAGTATTCCTTCTAACCCCCCCCCCCCCCCCCCCCCCAAATTGTAAAGTGGTTATCCCACTGGCTATAGGGTGAACGCACCAATTTGTGAGTCGCTCTGGCTAAGAGCGTCTGCTAAATGACGTTAATGTGCCCTTGAGCAAGGCACTTAACCCTAATTGCTCCTGTAAGTCGCTCTGGTTAAGAGCGTCTGCTAAATGACTAAAATGTAAATGTAAATGTCTGTAGGGTCATGTCAGGATGAGCCTGCAGGAAGAGTACCACATGAGGGAGGAGGGTGTCTTCCCTGTAACGCACAGCATTGATTGCCTGCAATGACAACAAGCTCAGTCCAATGACGCTGTGACACACCGCCCCAGACCATGACGGACCCTCCACCTCCAAATCGATCCCACTCCAGAGTACAGGCCTCGGTGTAACGCTCATTCCTTCGACAATAAACGCGAATCCGACCTGGTGAGACAACTGCGACTCATCAGTGAAGAGCACTTTTTGCCAGTCCTGTCTGGTCCAGCGATGGTGGGTTTGTGCCCATAGGCAACATTGTTGCCGGTGATGTCGGGTGAGGACCTGCCTTACAAAAGGCCTACAAGCCCTCAGTCCAGCCTCTCTCAACCTATTGCGGACAGCCTGAGCACTGATGGAGGGATTGTGCGTTCCTGGTGTAACTCGGGCAGTTGATGTTGCCATCCTGTACCTGTCCCGCAGGTGCGATGTTCGGATGTGCAGGTGTTGTTACACATGGTCTGCCACTGCGAGGATGATCAGCTGTCCGTCCTGTCTCCCTGTAGCGCTGTCTTAGGCGTCTCACAGTACGGACATTGCAATTTATTGCCCTGGCTACATCTGCAGTCCTCATGCATCCTTGCAGCATGCCTAAGGCACATTCACGCAGATGAGCAGGGACCCTGGGCATCTTTCTTTTGGTGTTTGTCAGAGTCAGTGTCCTCTTTAGTGTCCTAAGTTTTCATAACTGTGACCTTAATTGCCTACCGTCTGTAAGCTGTTAGTGTCTTAACGACCGTTCCACAGGTGCATGTTCATTAATTGCTTATGGTTCATCGAACAAGCATGGGAAACAGTGTTTAAACCCTTTACAATGAAGATCTGTGAAGTTATTTGGATTTTTACAAATTATCTTTGAAAGACAGGGTCCTGAAAAAGGGACGTTTCTTTTTTTGCTGAGTTTATATATAATTTGGCTGTATGTATTTTTAAATATAGGCCTATTGTAAATGTGTATTATTGTTGCGTCACCATCTTTATTGCAAAAAGAAATACAAGTAGAAACATAGCTTTAAGCTACACATTATTTTTGACAGAGGTAATGAACTGTCCATTGATCAGCATAGCAATTGGTAAAACAGGACCATGTTTGAAACCCAAGTGGTTCTGAGCTTATGTCAATATTACAGAGGTAAGCTAATGCAGACAGGCTCTATCTATCTGAGCTACTGTGTCCAACACCACCACCTGTTGTTATGTTGGGCACCTACTGACCAGAAAATGATGTTATTATGATTTTAAAAAATCTATTACATGTATCGCTCAAATAAAGGTTTAAGGAAATACAGGCATGCACCACATTACTACAAGACAAAACAGCTCAATCAAGCCTGATGGTCTTGTAAGTATAATAGCAAAGCTTGCTTTCATTTAATAATAAAAAGCATGAAAAGGTAGCGTAATAATATCTTACTGTGGTGTGTGAAGAATCCAATACTTTACCTTGCATGCGGTACAAATCATATTATTGTGGCAGCACTTCCTCTAAGAGTATGAATTTGGCTGTTTGAGAAGGTCTGAATCCTAAGCAACCTGGCTACACATAGTTTGAAGTACAATACCAACATAGCTACTGTAGTAGGTCAAAACTGTGTGCTGGAAAACCTTGGTAGAGCATGGGTGAAATAGGCATTGTGGTGCTCATGAATTTTCAGCTTCAGACCAATGCCTATTCTCACTTAAAACACAGTTTTTTGTTTTTAATACATTGTGGCTGTGAATAATGTTCGTCGTCCACTATGTTGAGCGAGCCACACTCCAGACACTTCTGACCGACAACAGCTATCTTCACTTTAAATAGATAGCAGGCTAAATCTAGCTAGCTATGTTAGTTAGCAAAACATACAATTGTGAGCCAGCCAACACTTAGTTACCATTCATGTGCTGTGAATGACAAATTAACATTTCAAATTCTTCTTCTTCTTTGGTATCATGGCGTTTACACAGCCTTACTTTAGTTCCGCTTTTGAAAGCAACTGCAACATTCCCATTGGAACAGCATAATATAGCTACGTTATGTTCATAGTGTGAACAGTGGAAACTTGATTTAAAGTTATTCATGAAGTAATGGTCAGCAGAGAGAGAGAGAGAGAGAGAGAGAGAGAGAGAGAGAGAGAGAGAGAGAGAGAGAGAGAGGTGTCTACTCCAATCAGAGGCTAAATAAATTACATGATTGAAAATAAGTATTTATTTCATAATTGTAAAAATTATAGACTATACGTTGACAGAATAGACACTTTCTGACTTTCACCCAACTATATAGTAATCCTTCCTATGACCAAATGCAGACCAACACACTCTGACACATCTTGCTATCTACCTCTGGCCACTGGTAGCTCTAAATCCCAATAGCTTTCTTCACAAGGAAATGCCACTTTAGACAATGTCCACAGGTTACACCCGTGCAATTTGTTTCTGGAGGTGCACCTGTCAGGGAGATTGCAATAAATTGAGAGTACATTCATCCAAAGGCATAGTGGTAGTCTAAATTGGTTTATCGGTAGTCTAAATTGTTTTAATTATCAATCCATGTTTATCTCGTAGACTACAATTTTCAATTATTTATTGTTCAAAGTGCTTCAACATAAAGTTTACAATATAAGAAAAGGACATCTCAATATGTACAACACTTATACATGAGTTATACAGTAACAGGGAATAATATCCATATTATTTTTGTTAGTTCAAAGGACACTGCCTATCTGCACCTCACAGACAAGCAATAATACGAAGTAACCCTTTACCGACAGGTATAACTCATAATGTGATTGTAATTAATGTTAATACTTGTCATAAGCATGTACCGGTATGGCCCCTATTATACCGATCTGTCTGCATAATGTGTTACCGAATATGCAAACTCTGTGTGCCACTGTTCTGTTGGAGCTTTCTTTTTTCTCTCTTGCTATTCAATTCATTCTTCAGTGTTGTTGCTCTGGATTTAACCTTCATATCATACTCCTCCTTGCAAGCACATCAAAACGTTAATACAAAGACAAACCAAACCAACTGTCAAAAATGTAAAGCACCTTCCCACAGGCCTATGTGGATTTGGTCCATGTTCTTATACTGTCTTTATACACACCAGAGTTGTAGTTGTTAAGATATAATTATTCAGAGTTTAGTCAACAGTCAAAATGTAATGAACAATCAAAAGTGCATCCATCCGTTCAGTAGGAATAGACAAAGCCAGTGCTTGGTATGTTATACATGGGTGAATGAAACGTTCTTTGCGAGGCACGCAGGAATTCTTCAAACAGCCCAATACATGGGCATTGAGGGAGATAAACATCTAGGAAGCCCTGCTCTGAATGATTAGGAACAGGATGGAGTAATATATATTTCTAAAGGTCTCATTTGAGTGAGTTCATGGACATCAGGATACTGGGTTGCTCCTCGATGATGCGCACCAGCAGGTTGTCAATGTACTGCTCCAGCTCCTTGATCTTGTTGTCCCTCTTGGAGAGCTGGTCCTGCTGCTTCACCACCAGGGAGATCAGCTCCTCCTGGGTCAGCTGGGAGTACTGACCTTTGACCCCTGTGTCTTTGACCTAGACAGAAAGGAGGGAATGGAGTCCATGCCATTTATATTTTTCCATAGAATTCTCCAAAGATATGCCATGTATTATCCATTAAGCAATGTTTAGTCTATGCATGAACCCCTACAAAGAGCATCTTAAAAAATATTGCTAAACTTTAAGCACCCAACCAGGGCTCCTGTATTTTGTTTCTTTACATAAGCAGAAAATATTCAATGTACAAAAAAGTTATAGCTTTCAGCCACGTGTAATGGATGGCATGCTTGGGTGCAATGTCAACCAGATCTTATTTTTAAGTCCTGGAGTCTATGACATATTCCACACATGATTCTACCTCGCTCCTGATGGGAGGAATTGCAAGTGTTACTTCCGGACTTGTCTCCGTGTTGCTGTGCTGTTTGTTGCTACTTGGCTACCTGTTTTACAATTAATTACAGTTTAATTAAAATCAGCATTTAACACATTTACCAACGTCTTTGTTTTTTCCTCGCTCTACTTTTTTTATTCAACTTTTTCACCCCGGAGGCTTTATCAGGACATGGTTCTACAGGACCTCCACCAGCCCAAAAAGCTAAGTAGTAACATTAACACTATGCCTTCTAATTGCAGTCGCTGTACTCATAATATACACAAGAACTATCGCCTTATGGTGAGGATAGCCGTGTTGCAAGCCCAGCTTCAGTTGCAATCGTTAGGCAAGGGCAATTTAAGTGTAGGAAAGGTTGAAACAGCGTCTGTGCCCCCAGTAAGTACAGATAGTAGTATAAATCCCCCAGCACAGTCCCCGCAACTTTCTCAGGTCTCTCCTCCACCCATTATGGGGTCTGAGCCGCCGAAGCCTTCCACCATTAGCTTTGACAAATTGAAAACCCTAGACATTGGCGACTCCAATACCCGCATTATTAGACTTAAAAAGAATCATCCAGTGATCATACACTGTTTACCTGGGGCAGGGCTACCGATGTAAAGGCTAATCTGAAGAGGGTGCTGGCTAAGGCTAAAACTGGCGAGCGTAGAGAGTATAGGGATATTGTTATCCATGTTGGCACTAACGATGTTAGGATGAAACAGTCAGAGGTCACCAAGCGCAACATAGCTTCAGCATGTAAATTAGCTAGAAAGATGTGTCGGCATCGAGTAATTGTCTCTGGCCCCCTCCCAGTTAGGAGGAGTGATGAGCTCTACAGCAGTCTCACAACTCAATCGCTGGTTGAAAACTGTTTTCTGCCGCTCCCAAAATATAGAATTTGTAGATATAGAATTTGTAGATCTTATTATGTTTGCAATCGCAACAAATAATCTGCTCAGACCCCAAGCAAGGATCATCAAAAGCCGTGCTTTAAATTCTCAGACAACCCAAAGATTCCTAGATGCCCTTTCAGACTACCCCCACCAACCCAAAGATGTCGGAGTACAACAATCAGTTAACCACCTAACAGAGGATCTAAATTTAACATTGCGTAATACCCTAGATGCAGTCACACCCCTAAAAACAAAAAACATTTGTCACAAGACATTTGCTCCCTGGTATACAGAAAATACCCGAGCCCTGAAGCAAGCTTCCAGAAAATTGGAATGGAAATGTCGCTCCACCAAACTGGAAGTCTTCCGACTAGCTTGGAAAGAAAGTACCGTGCAATATCGAAGAGCCCTTGCTGCTGCTCGATCATCCTATTTTTCCAACCTAATTGAGGAGAATAAGAACAATCCAACATTTATTTTTGATACTAAAAAGCAGGATGGTTTTCACTTCAGCAGTGATGAATTGATTAACTTTTTTGATGAAAAGATCATGTTCATTAGAAAGCAAAATACGGACTCCTCTTTGAATCCGTGTATTTCTCCAAAACTCAGTTGTCCTCAGTCTGCACAGAACTGCCAGGACCTAGGATCAATGGAGGCACTCAAGTTTTTTTTATCCTGTATCTCTTGACACATTCATGGAAATAGTTATGTCCTCTAAACCTTCAAGCTGCATACTGGACCCTATTCCAACTTAAACTACTGAAAGACCTACTTCCTGTGCTTGGCCCTCCTATGTTGAACATAATACATGTCTCACTATCCACCGGATGTGTACCAAACTCACTAAAAGTGGCAGTAATAAAGCCTCTCTTGAAAAAGCCAAACCTTGACCAGGAAAATGTAAAAAAAAAAAAAAAAAAAAATCGGCCTATATCGAATCTCCCATTCCTCTAAAAAGATTTGGAAAAAGCCGGTTGCCAGCAACTCACTGCCTTCCTCAAGACAAATAATATCTATAAAATGCTTCAGTCTGGTTTTAGACCCCATCATAGCACTGAGACTGCTCTCGTAAAGGTGGTACATTTCCTTTTAATGGCGTCAGACCAAGGCTCTGCATTTGTCCTTGTGCTCCTGGACCTTAGTGCTGCTTTTGACACTATCGATCACCACATTCTTTTGGAGAGATTAGAAACCCAAATTGGTCTACACGGACAAGTTCTTGCCTGGTTTAGATCTTATCTGTCGGAAAGATGTCTGTGGATGGTTTGTCCTCTGACAAATCAATTGTACGTTTCGGCGTTCCTCAATGTTCCATTTTAGGACCACTGTTGTTTTCACTATATATTCTACCTCTTGGTGATGTCATTCGGAAACACAATGTCAACTTTCACTGCTATGCGGACGACACACAGCTGTACATTTCGATGAAAGCCCCACAATTGCCTACCCTGGAAGCCTGTGTTCCAGACATTCATTTTTTACTTCTAGTCCCAAGAAACAAAGATATCTGCTGTTGGATCTGACAATTAATCTTGATGGTTGTACAGTCGTCTCAAATAAAACTGAAGGACCTCGCCGTTACTCTGGACCCTGATCTCTCTTTTGACGAACATTGGTCAGTTGGTAGAGCATGGCGCTTGCAACGCCAGGGTTGGGGATTCGATTCCCACGGGGGGGCAGTACGAAAAATGTTAGCACTCACTAAGTCGCTCTGGATAATAGCGTCTGCTAAAGGACAGCTTTTTTCCATCTTCGTAACATTGCAAAAATCTAAAACGTTTTGTCCAAAAATGATGCAGAAAAGCTAATCCATGCTTTTGTCACTTCTAGATTAGACAACTGCAATGCTCTACTTTCTGGGTACCCGGATAAAGCACTAAATAAAACTTCAGTTAGTGTAAAACACGGCTGCTAGCCTCTCTACACTGGCTTCCTGTTAAGGCTAGGGCTGATTTCAAGGTTTAATTGCTAACCTACAAAGCATTACATGGGCTTGTTCCTACCTATCTCTCCGATTTGGTCCTGCCGTACATACCTACATGTACGCTACGGTCACAAGACGCAGGCCTCCTTATTGTCCCTAGAATTTCTTAGCAAACAGCTGGAGGCAAGGCTTTCTCCTATTGAGCTCCATTTTTATGGAATGGTCTGCCTATCCATGTGAGAGATGTAAGAATATTCAAAGATAAATACACAATGAAGAGGACTAGTGGTCAATAGAGGACTAGTGGTCAATAGAGGACTAGAGGTCAAGAGGGAATTAACGATAAATGGAAATAGTTGTTTTTCAGTTCAACATCTGTTTAGAATCTGTGTAGGGCTTCCAACCAGGGACTCATAGCTACATGTGGCAAGTTCTCATTGGTCCAAATTGTCTATACATTGAGCCTGAAACAGGATACTTGGTATTTGGCCATTGGCCAAATTTGATTGAAAGGAATTCTAATTGGTCAGCCACATGCTAGGCTTGAGGCTATAAACTACATCCTGCCTCTTTGTTCAGTGGAGAAAACATTGACAGCGAAGAATGAACATCTACCATCTACTTTCCAGCACAACAACTACGATTAGTTCTCTTTGAATAAATATATTTTTCTCCCCCTGATTTGCTTTGGGGTCTATGTTATTAAAGAATAACATCAACTGCTAACAGAGACGCAGACTCGGTCTCGACCTTTAAGTCTTTACTGAAGACTCATCTCTTCAGTAGGTCCTACGATTGAGTGTAGTCTGGCCCAGGGGTGTGAAGGTAAACGGCAAGGCACTGGAGCGACTCCCCTCTCTCCACTGGGATTCTCTGCCTCTGACCCTATTACAGGGGCTGAGTCACTGGCTTACTAGTGCTCTTCCATGCCGTCCCTAGGAGGGGTGCATCACTTGAGTGGGTTGAGTCACAGGCGTGATCTTCCTGTCCGGTTTTGCATCCCCTCGGGCTCGTGCGGTGGAGGAGATCTTCGTGGGCTATACTCAGCCTTGTCTCAGGGTAGTAAGTTGGTGGTCTGTTGATATCCCTCTAGTGGTGTGGGGCTGTGCTTCGGCAAAGTGGGTGGGGTTATATCCTGCCTGGTTGGCCCTGTCCGGGGGTATCGTCGGACGGGACCACAGTGTCCCCCAACCCCCCCCCTCCGTCTCAGCCTCCTGTATTTATGCTGCAATAGTCTATGTGCCGGGGGGCTAGGGTCAGTCTGTTATATCTGGTGTAATTCTCCTTTCTTATCTGGTGTCCTGTGTGAATTTAAGTATGCCCCCCCCCCCCCCCCCCCCCCCCCCCCCCCCCCCCCCACACACACTTTCCCAACATAGATTGTAGACACAATGATGTCTGATTATTCAGTACACATACACCTCCTGCCTAAAGCAGATCTATGTTGACTGGTGAGAGAATCTGTAGGTAGCTCTTTCATCTGCTGCTGGTGTGCATCGGTTCACTCAATGCTGTTTCAATTTCCCTCATGGCAGAGATATATTGCATTAGTACCTTTATCTTCTCTTGAAGGACACCAAGGATTCCTGTAGATTTGCCAGCCTGCCCCTCCTGGATGTTGGAGGCTGGCTGGTTTTCCAGGGAGCTCAAGGGCTTTACTGGATGGGGCCTGAATAGAGATAGACAGGGAGACAGAGACAGTGAGAGTCGCTCAAACTTTCCTGAAGTGTTAGAGGAGAAGCAGCAGGTGGATATGGGGGATATCCGGATAATTACATTTTACAAAGGTCACATTCATTTGTAAAACAATTTTCCAATCGCTTGTAGGATGCATTGTTCGTGAACACTTCATGAATTTACTCTCTTTATAAAATGTTTAATTTCACTTTCCTGAATTGTATCAATGGAACTTCTGACCAAGTTGTTTTTGCAATACCTTTCAAAAGTTGTACAGGAAATCTATAATTATTTTTAACATAGTTTAACGTTATGAATCTAACTACATTAATGAACTACAGTACAGGAGAGGTTTCATGGCGAGCACAAGGCTGCTACACACTACAGATCTTTCTCTCACCTGCATGTGCTTGAGGTAGGCCTGTCCCCTCTCCCTCCCACCTCCTCTCCACTGCACTGCTCTGCAATGGAGGACACAGCTCCAGCATGAAGCAGGGTCCTCTGGCCAGGGACAGAGCTTGTTGTCTGGGGAGGACAGTCACTCCTGCCCCCTGATCCCTTCAGGGGCTTGGGTTGGGGTAGGAAGGAGGGGGCAGGTGAGGGTACACATGGGCGCTGGGCAATGGTAACACAATTTAGTGCCACACCCACACCGCAATTCTGCGTTTTTTCTGAGATACCTGAGGAAAGCTTACTCGAAGTGGAAGCCCCTGGGCTTTGCAGTTTTACAGAACTGTGTTTACCAGTATCCTCCTCTCTAGAGGTGGATGTTTTCTTCAATGGAGGCAAGGGAGCACTGACCCACTTTGCTGATGTGCTTTTGATGGGACGGGAGCCATCCTCAGCTAGCAGAACATCTGGCGTTGGAAGGTCTATTGTGTCCCTAACCACACTATTCTGCATTGAACCTGGATCTGCCTCTGTGAGGGTACAACTCTGATGATTGTGAGAGTCCAGGCTCTCCTGATGTTCACCAGTTAGTCTCTGTTCTTCACCACGTCCAGAGGACTTCTCCATTCTGCAGTCTTCTGCAAAGGGATTATTTGGATCAAACTCAACCGAAGAGTCATGTTCCTCAGTATTCAATTGCTTATCTAATACATCAGCTTTTGGCATCGTCTTCCCTGGAGGGTACTGGGGCCTCGAGGGTGCTGGACCTTTATTGTGTTTGGCCACCCTCAACCCCCCAGTGGCAGATGGCATGTGTTGTTCTGCTTGGTTCCCATGGCGGGTAGAGCTCTGGCCTCCACTGGTGTGTTCTGTTGTAGCTGTGGAGGAAGATCTCAGTGGTGTGATCATCTGTACCACACGTTGAGAGACCTTGGACATGGAGGCACCTACTCTGTCCTTATGTCCCAGATTCACTCTGGTCATACTCTGGTCCCTCGGTGTCTGGCTTGGAGCCTGGCTTGGTCTATCTGGAGCCAGTGGAGCAGGACCCTTGTCCATCCTGGTACTGGAATGGTCCTGACCACTAACACTCTCCTGGTCATCCCCGCTTCCCACCAGTGACGTGGAAGATTGACGTCTTGGAGGAGGGGGCGGTTCTGTTGGCTTTGTTAGGGCGAGGTTAGCTGTGGCAGAATGAGCATTGCCCTTGCTAGGCCAGTTGTCCATACGAGCCCAGCGCTGGTTGTTGGGGGGCAGAGGGGCAGGGTCTTTCTCTTCCATTAGATCAGTAGACGGATCCTGGGCGCCTCTGGTTTCCCCATCGCCTCTAGGGGAGTCCATAGAACTCTCAATTTCAGGAGACAAGGACGATAAGAAGGGGTTGGAAGATACACTAGGCTGAGATGGGTTCACCCATGACGAGGGTCTGGAAGATACACTAGGCTGAGACGGGTTCACCCATGACGAGGGTCTGGAAGATACACTAGGCTGAGACGGGTTCACCCATGACGAGGGTCTGGAAGATACACTAGGCTGAGATGGGTTTACCCATGACGAGGGTCTGGAAGAGCAGGGTTAGGGAGGGGAGGGTGCAGTAAGACAAAGAATGAGCACTTTACAGCTGTATGAGATGGTTGCCTTCACACATTTGAACTTTGCTGATGACAAGGTCTAACTACCACACATAAAACATTTTAAATATTTAAAAAAAAAAAAAAATATATATATATATATATATATATATATATATATAAGAACAAAGGATTTGTTTCTAAAACGTAATGATGCAATGTTATGAAAAACATATTGAATTAAATTCAATGCGTTCTATTTTTTTTTCCTCATCAAAAACAAGCCTTGTTGGAATCCACACACACAAACACATTTAGCAGAGAGGAAGACAACACAAACTACAGAGGTGTTACATCCTAACAAAGTTGATACTAGGGTGGAACTAATTCACCAGACAAGACAATGAGAGAAAGGGTGGGATTTCATTTTATTAGGTCTTTCTGAGAGGGACCTGAAGGTTAGTTATAACGGTTAGCTTAGTTACACAAACACACTAGGGAACAGAAAGAAATAAAAAATTGAAAAATGATCACTATAAAATATACTGTTTGTAGCCTCTGAACCATTCCCTGTTCACATAACAGCCTTGCCTTGACTATACTGAGTCATGTCATCCTATTGGTTGGTTTCTTCATTCCAGCCTCATCAGGATACAGACATTAAAAACTTCAGCAATCACCTAATGCTTTGTGTCGCTCTGTAACACCTTTACTATGACATCTGTAGAATCTTTATAACAAGGTACGATTGATTCATTACATTTTTTACATTTTAGTCATTTAGCAGACGCTCTTATCCAGAGCAACTTACAGGAGCAATTAGGTGGGAAGAGCAGCCAATCTCAGCTGAGCCAAAGGTTTCCAATAGAAAGACACAAGGGCTGTGTTTAAACAGGCAGCCCAATTCTGATATTTATTCCACTAATTTGTCTTTTGAACAATGACATCAGATCTTTTCACATCAGATATTTTTCAGAGCTGATCTGATTGGTCAAAAGACCAATTAGTGAAAAAAAGATCAGAATTGGGCTGCCTGTGTAAACACAGCCACTGAGATGCACACCACATCCACATCAATGGGGGCCCCCATTGATTTTGTTAGTCAGTCTCACTCAGATATCATATTAAAAACTACAAACATTCCTCTCCACCCCATGACAAAATGAGTAGAATTGCATGAAATTAGTTATAAAATGGCTAAATATTCTCTCCGTGCCATAGCAAAATGTGTAGGGGGGGATGTTTATGGGTACGCAGACCCGCGAGCAACTGCAGCCACTCATGATGAGTTCAGATTTTTTGTGGCCCCCAACCCCATCAAAGTTGCCCATCTTTGCTTTAGGGAATCGTGCTTTAATGAGATGTGCATGTTGAAGTAGAGTCATGCACCACGCAGGCAAACAGATGCCATGACATCTAGCTTACACACTCCCTTCACACCAAATGGCCATGACGCCAACACACTGAGATCTAACTCTTACCAAGCGTTTCAATTGACTTAATATATTAGACAGAACACTTTCCTGTACCAAAGTCTTTGATAAAACGACAGGTTTTCTGCTCAAATCTGTATTTTGTGCCACAGCCGTACAGATCCAATAAAACCATCCCAATTGCATCCAGCTGAGTTTCTACAAGCAGCTATAATGATTGTGCCACATCCATAATCAGTTTTGTTGCCTCCCCTGATTAACTGGTGGTATAAAAGTATTCTCAGACAAATTGGCAGGTTTCCCACTCTAATCAGACTTGTGCCACCCTGCACTGACAGCGCAGGGAAAGAGAATGTTAGCATAATTTATATAGTTCTGTTAGAAGATGAAAGGGGATGTCTGATACGAGACAGGGACGTTAGTAGGTGTGTGTGGATGAGGAGACAGACTTCAGGGGGGTTCAGCAGAAACGAGGGTGTTGCTTTTGGAGACCACCAGCTGCTTTTGCAGACTAAATAAATAGTGCATCCATAATTTATGACATCTAAGGGGTAACACAATTCTGGGGAACTGAGACAGTAAAATAGTGTGTGTGTATGTTCGTGCATGTGTGTGTGTGTTCGTGTGTGCGGTTTGGGAGTGGGACTGACCTTGGCTTGACTGCTGATACTTTATTTGTTCGGCAGCTGATGGGACCAGTAGAAGAGGTTGTGGGGGTCTCCTCAAACGGGTTATTTGAAGAGGTGTCATCACATGAAGTGGTAGGAGAGACTTCCTCAAAAGGATTATTGCACACGATGGCCTCTGCCTCTCTATTCTGCGCCATCTGCTGCTCAACTTCCTCCAACTTTACCCTCACCTCCTCATGCCTTCGCTGTTCCTCCATCTGTGCATTCCTCTTTTTCTCCTTCTCTGTCATCTTCTCTTCCTGTCCTCTCAACTCTTCTTTTTTCATATTTTCTTCCTCCACCCTAAACCTCTCTTTTACCTCCATCAGTTTTCTCTGCTCCTCATCTCTTCTTCTCTCCTCTTCCTCTTCCCTTTCTTCTTCAAGCCTAATTCTTTCTGCTTCTTCCTTTCTCAGCCTATCCTCCTCTTCTCTCTTCATTCTTTCCTCCTCCTCCATCCTCTTTATCCTAATTTCCTCTCTCAGCCAATCTTCCTCTGCGGCCTTCCTCACTCTTTCTTCCTCCTCCCTCATCCTTCTCCCTTCCTCTCTCAGCCGATCTTCCTCTCTCTTCATTATTTGTTCTTCCTCCTTTCTCAGCCTATCCTCCTCTTTCTTCATTCTTTCTTCCTCCTCCTTTCTCAGCCTATCCTCCTCTTTCTTCATTCTTTCTCCTCCTCCTTTCTCAGCTATCCTCCTCTTCTTCATTCTTTCTTCCTCCCCTTTCTCAAGCCTATCCTCCTCTTTCTTCATTCGTTTCTTCCTCCTCCTTGCTCACCTATCCTCCTCTCCTTCATTCTTTCTTCCTCCTCCTTCTCAGCCTATCTCCTCTTCCTCATTCTTTCTTCCTCCTCTTTCTCAGCATATCCTCTTTCTCAGCCCATCCTCCTCTCTCTTCATTATTTCTTCCTCCTCCTTTCTCAGCCTATCCTCCTCTTTCTTCATCCTTTCTTCCTCCTCCTTTCTCAGCCTATCCTCCTCTCTCTTCATCATTTCTTCCTCCTCCTTTCTCAGCCTATCCCTCTTTCTATCTTCCTCCTCTTTCTTCAGTCTTTCTTTTCTTCTCCCCCTCCTTCATCTCAGCCTATCCTCCTCTTCTCTTTCATTCTTTTCTTTCTCCTCCTCCTTTCTCAGCCTATCCTCCTCTTTCTCTCTTCATTCTTTCTTCCTCCTCCTTTCTCAGCCTATCCTCCTCTTTCTTCATTCTTTCTTCCTCCTCCTTTCTCAGCCTATCCTCCTCTTCTTCATTCTTTCTTCCTCCTCCTTTCTCAGCCTATCCTCCTCTTCTTCATTCTTTCTTCCTCCTCCTTTCTCAGCCTATCCTCCTCTTTCTTCATTCTTTCTTCCTCCTCCTTTCTCAGCCTATCCTCCTCTCTTCTTCATTCTTTCTTCCTCCTCCTTTCTCAGCCTATCCTCCTCTCTTTCTCATTCTTTCTTCCTCCTCCTTTCTCAGCCTATCCTCCTCTTTCTTCATTCTTTCTTCCTCCTCCTTTCTCAGCCTATCCTCCTCTTTCTTCATTATTTCATCCTCCTCCTTTCTCAGCCTATCCTCCTCTTTCTTCATTATTTCATCCTCCTCATTTCTCAGCCTATCCTCCTCTTTCTTCATCTTTCTTCTTCCTCCTTCTTCCTCTCTTATCTTCTCCTCTTTCTCAGCCTATCCCTCCTCTTTCTTCTTCCTTTTTCTTTCCTCCTCCTTTTTCCTTTTCTCCCGTCCTCTTCTCCTCCCTTTCTTCATTCTTTCTTCCTCCTCTCCTTTCTCAGCCTATCCCCTCTTTCTTCCTTCTTTCATTCTTCTTCCCTCCCTCCTTCTTCTCCCTCCTCTCCCCCTCTCTCTCCTCTTCTTCTTTTCTTCCTCCTCCTTTCTCAGCCTATCCCCTCCTCTTTCTTCATTATTTCTTCCTCCTCCTTTCTCAGCCTAGTCATCCTCTCTTTCATTCTCTTTTCTTCTTACCTTCCTCCTCTTTCTTCAGTCTATCCTCCCTCCTTCTCACTTCTTTTCTTTCTTCTTCCCCTCCTTCTCAGCCTATCCTCCTCTTTCTTCATTCTTTCTTCCTCCCTCCTTTCTCAGCCAATCCTCCTCTTTCTTCATTCTTTCCTTCCTCCTCCTTTCTCCAGGCCTATCCTCCTCTTCTCTTCTTCTTTCTTCTTCCCTCCTCCTTTCTCAGCCTATCCTCCTCTCTCCTTCTTCTTTCTTTCTTTCCTCCTCCTCCTTTTTCAGCCTTCCTCCTCTTTCTCTTCATTTCTTCTCTTCCTCCTCCTTTTCAGCCTATCCTCATCTTTCTTTCATTCTTTCTTCCTCCTCCTTTCCTCGCTATCCCCCCTCTTTTTCCCTTCATTCTTCTTCCTCCTCCTTTCTCGCCTTCTTCCTCTCTTTTCAGTTCTACTATCCTCCTCTCATTCTTCTTCTCCCTTTCTCACCATCCTCCTCGTTCTTCATTTTTCTTCCTCTCCTTTCTCAGCCTACTACCTTCTTCTTTTTCATTTTCTTCCTCCTCCTTTCTCAGCTACCTTCTCTTCATCTTTCTTCCTCCTCCTTTTCATCTACCTCCTCCTCTCTTTTCTCCTCTTCATTTATTTTCTCATCCTACTCCTATACTTCTTCTCTTCATTCTTTCTTCTCCTCCTTTCTCATAATTCATTTTCTCTTTCTCACTTTCTTTCTTCTTCTCCTCCTTTCCAGCCTATCCTCTTTCTTCATTCTTTCTTCCTCCTCCTTTCTTATCCTCCTCTCTCTCATCTTTTCTCCTCTCTCAATCCTCCCTCTCCTCCTCCTTCTTCTCTCTCTCCTCCTTTCTCTCTGCATATCCTCCTCCACCTCTTCTCTCCTAATCCTTTCCTTTTCCTTAATCCTCTCATCTTTCTCCCTCTTCAATCTTCCCTCCTCCTCCCTCATCTTCCTCTCGTCCTCCTTTCTCAGTCTGTCCTCCCTCCTCATTCTTTCCCCTTCCTCCTTTATTCTTTCCTCTTCTTCCCACCTCTCTCGTTCCTCCATTTCCCTCCTTTTTTCCTCTAACCTCGTCTTTTCCTGGTCTTCCTTCCAAACACTCTCCTCTCCCTCCACCTTCAGGGTCCTCTCCTCCTGTTCCTCTTCCAGCCTTCTTTCTTCCTCCTCCTCCGTAATCCTCCTTTTCTCTTGTTCCTCCTTCCTTCCTCCTTCCTCCTCGTCTAACTTCTTACTCTCCTGCTTTTCCTTTCTCTTCCTCTCCTCATCCATCTTAACCCTATCGTCCTCTTCCTCCTCTGCACTGCTGCTCTCTTCCTCTGCCCAGGGTGAGGGCTGCTTCAAGGAGTCCATGGAGGTGCCGGAGCTCTTACGGCACTGGGCCCTGCGGAGGTCTTCCATGGAGCTGTGGCCTGAGCTGGCCAGGCTAAAGTTGGAGCCGGTGCGGGCGCTCCGGGGCTGGGGCTTCTCTGTGTACATGTGAGCGCCATTGATGCACAGGTTACTCTGCTTTGCAAGCGGGGCAGGAATCTTATAGCGCACCAGGGACAGGGAACTGCCTGTTCGCTTATGGGTCAGAAACTTTAATTTATTTTTACCTGTGGATGAGAAAGAAAGAATCGGGGGGAAAGGTTAGATCTGCAAACACATACCGTGTAACATACAGTGAGGGAAAAAAGTATGTGATCCCCTGCTGATTTTGTACGTTTGCCCACTGACAAAGACATGATCAGTCTATAATTCTAATAGTAGGTTTATTTGAACAGTGAGAGACAGAATAACACCAACAAAAATCCAGAAAAACGCATGTCAAAAATGTTATTAATTGATTTGCATTTTAATGAGGGAAATAAGTATTTGACCCCTCTGCAAAACATGACTTAGTACTTGGTGGCAAAACCCTTGTTGGCAATCACAGAGGTCAGACGTTTCTTGTAGTTGGCCACCAGGTTTGCACACATCTCAGGAGGGATTTTGTTCCACTCCTTTTTGCAGATCTTCTCCAAGTCATTAAGGTTTCGAGGCTGATGTTTGGCAACTCGAACCTTCAACTCCCTCCACAGATTTTCTATGGGATTAAGATCTGGAGACTGGCTAGGCCACTCCAGGACCTTAATGTGCTTCTTCTTGAGCCACTCCTTTGTTGCCGTGGCCGTGTGTTTTGGGTCATTGTCATGCTGGAATACCCATCCACGACTCATTTTCAATGCCCTGGCTGAGGGAAGGAGGTTCTCACCCAAGATTTGACGGTACATGGCCCCGTCCATCGTCCCTTTGATGCTGTGAAGTTGTCCTGTCCCCTTAGCAGAAAAACACCCCCAAAGCATAATGTTTCCACCTCCATGTTTGACGGTGGGGATGGTGTTCTTGGGGTCATAGGCAGCATTGCTCCTCCTCCAAACACGGCGAGTTCAGTTGATGCCAAAGAGCTCGATTTTGGTCTCATCTGACCACAACACTTTCACCCAGTTCTCCTCTGAATCATTCAGATGTTCATTGGTAAATTTCAGACGGCCCTGTATATGTGCTTTCTTGAGCAGGGGGACCTTGCGGGCGCTGCAGGATTTCAGTCCTTCATGGAGTAGTGTGTTACCAATTGTTTTCTTGGTGACTATGGTCCCAGCTGCCTTGAGATCATTGACAAGATCCTCCCGTGTAGTTCTGGGCTGATTCCTCACCGTTCTCATGATCATTGCAAATCCACGAGGTGAGATCTTGCATGGAGCCCCAGGCTGAGGGAGATTGACAGTTATTTTGTGTTTCTTCCATTTGCGAATAATCGCACCAACTGTTGTCACCTTCTCACCAAGCTGCTTGTGACACAAGCCTACTTCTCACCAAGCTGCCCAGTGACACAACCCTACCAGACGAGCTAAACCACTTCTATGCTCGCTTCGAGGCAAGCAACACTGAAGCATGAATGAGAGCACCAGCTGTTCCGGATGATTATGTGATCACGCTCTCCGTAGCCGATGTGAGTAAGACTTTTAAGCAGCTCAACATTCACAAGGCCGGAGGGCCAGACGGATTACCAGGATGTGTACTCCGAGCATGTGCTGACCAACTGGCAAGTGTCTTCACTGACATTTTCAACATGTCCCTGACTGAGTCTGTAATACCAACATGTTTCAAGCAGACCACCATAGTCCCCGTGCCCAAGGACTCTAAGATAACCTGCCTAAATGACTACCGACCCGTAGCACTGACGTCTGTAGCCATGAAGTGCTTTGAAAGGCTGGTCATGGCTCACATCAACAGCATTATCCCAGAAACCCTAGACCCACTCCAATTTGCATACCGCCCCAACAGATCCACAGATGATGCAATCTCTATTGCACTCCACACTGCCCTTTCCCACCTGGACAAGAGGAACACCTACGTGAGAATGCTATTCATTGACTACAGCTCAGCATTCAACACCATAGTGCCCTCTAAGCTCATCACTAAGCTAAGGATCCTGGGACTAAACACCTCCCTCTGCAACTGGATCCTGGACTTCCTGACGGGCTGCCCCCAGGTGGTAAGGGTAGGTAACAACACATCTGCCACACTGATCCTCAACACGGGGGCCCCTCAGGGGTGCGTGCTCAGTCCCCTCCTGTACTCTCTGTTCACCCATGACTGCATGGCCAGGCACGACTCCAACACCATCATTAAGTTTGCCGACGACACAACAGTGGTAGGCCTGATCACCGACAACGATGAGATGATTGTGGACTACAGGAAAAAAAAGAGGACTGAGCACGCCCCCATTCTCATCGACGGGGCTGTAGTGGAACAGGTTGAGAGCTTCAAGTTCCTTGGTGTCCACATCACCAACGAACTATCATGGTCCAAACACACCAAGACAGTCGTGAAGAGGGCACGACAAAGCCTATTCCCCCTCAGGAGACTGAAAAGATTTGGCATGGGTCCTCAGATCCTCAAAAAATTCTACAGCTGCACCATCGAGAGCATCCTGACTGGTTGCATCACCGCCTGGTATGGCAACTGCTTGGCCTCCGACCGCAAGGCACTACAGAGGGTAGTGCGTATGGCCCAGTACATCACTGGGGCCAAGCTTCCTGCCATCCAGGACCTCTATACCAGGCGGTGTCAGAGGAAGGCCCTCAAAATTGTCAAAAACTCCAGCCACCCTAGTCATAGACTGTTCTCTCTGCTACCGCACGGCAAGCGGTACCGGAGTGCCAAGTCTAGGTCCAAAAGACTTCTCAACAGCTTCTACCCCCAAGCCATAAGACTCCTGAACAGCTAATCATGGCTACCTGGACTATTTGCACCGACCCCCCACCCCATCCTTTTTACGCTGCTGCTACTCTGTTAATTATTTATGCATAGTCACTTTAACTCTACCCACATGTACATATTACCTCAACTACCTCAACTAGCCGGTGCCCCCGCACATTGACTCTGCAATGGTACCCCCCTATATACATAGTCCTCTGTACCATACGTGGTCCTCTGTAGCTCAGCTGGTAGAGCACGGCGCTTGTAACGCCAAGGTGGTGGGTTCGATCCCCGGGACCACCCATACACAAAAAAATGTATGCACGCATGACTGTAAGTCGCTTTGGATAAAAGCGTCTGCTAAATGGCATATTATTACATAGCCTCCCTACTGTTACTTTATTTTACTTCTGCTCTTTTTTTTCTCAACACTTTTTTTGTTGTTGTTTGATTTAAAAAAAAAAAAAAATGCACTGTTGGTTAAGGGCTGTAAGTAAGCATTTCACTGTAATGTCTGCACCTGTTGTATTCGGCGCATGTGACCAATACAATTTGATTTGATTTGATTTGTCGATGGTCTTGTAGCCCATTCCAGCCTTGTGTAGGTCTACAATATTGTCCTTGACATCCTTGGAGAGCTCTTTGGTCTTGGCCATGGTGGAGAGTTTGGAATATGATTGATTGATTGCTTCTGTGGACAGGTGTCTTTTATACAGGTAACAAACTGAGATTAGGAGCACTCCCTTTAAGAGTGTGCTCCTAATCTCAGCTCGTTATCTGTATAAAAGAGACCTGGGAGCCAGAAATCTTTCTGATTGAGAGGGGGTCAAATACTTATTTCCCTCATTAAAATGCAAATCAATTTATAACATTTTCTAAATGTGTTTTTCTGGATTTTGTTGTTGTTATTCTGTCTCTCACTGTTCAAATAAACTTACCATTAAAATTATAGACTGATCATTTCTTTGTCAGTGAGCAAACGTACAAAATCAGCAGGGGATCAAATACTTTTTTCCCCTCACTGTAACATTTTCTAATAGATAATGCTGCTATATTTTCAACTGAATGGACAGCCTGTGGTGATTCTCACCTTCAGTGGAGTCCACATTGAGGCCTGTGGAGCGGCTGCCACTCAGTGAGGAGTTCTTCTCAGGCATAGGGCCCAGGACAGACATGGACTGAGACAGTCCGTGACGTTGCAGGTTAGACTTGGGAGAAAACAGAGACTTCGGCTTGTTTTTCTTGTTTTTCTCTTCTTTGTCTGCACCGCCCTCCCCTACCCCCTCTCCCACCCCCTCTCCCTCCCCCTCGCTGTCCATCAGAACCTGGGTGAAGGACGGCACCACGGCAGACGCACAATCCGACAGACCCTCCTTTTTGCTTCGCACCTTGTCCTTGAACTTGCCCAGGCAGGAGCGTGGCTTGTCTGTAGCAGAGAGGTTGAACATGCTGGCTGTCATGTTGTTCTTCGTAAACTGGATGTCCACCAGCACCTCTCCCCTGTCTTTGTCTGGCTTGCCTGCCTTGTCCAGCAGTTTATGCCATCTGTCGAGAAAAAATCGGTATTATTTATCAAACAAAATCATCGAGTAGAACTGGTATAAAACACATGCTGTTCTTATCCAAGAGATGTCTCAAGAACTAAACATGTGAATGTGAGGCAGTGAAAAAAACAACCAACATAGTGTTTTATTTTTCTGATGCCTGCTGTCTCCTCCATTAACCATTGAAAATAACTTGTGAGCTCAGAAATAATGTGAAATATGTAGGCATTAACCACTTCTTTTCAGATAACACACACTGTTCAGACTGATCTGTCTGAACAATCACAGTCTGCATAAGCAGAGGAAGACTGAGGATCCAATAACGTGTAGTCACCTGCCTCTGGGCCTCCCTTCCAGCTTTAAAAGACAGTGTCTACATGTTAGCTTTTCACAAATAAAGAACGCTTTCACCCCTAGCATAGCTTTATTCAAGGATGCCATTTCCCCCTTTTTTGTTACACTCTAATCCTGATGGTTCCAAGGGTTTATCATAACCAAGTGAATAATTCCAGTAAGTAGGGGCTGATGCCATTTTTCATTTAACTGTTTAGAGTTCCTCCATGGAAACGGTGATCAGTACAGTAGCTCTCTCTGAATTGGCCCAAGGGTGGAGGGACCAGCGGAAATGACTGATGATGCGGTGAGTGCTCTGGAGAGTCAGTGTTTGAGCAATTATGATTCATACTAATGGTCACCACCAGGAACATTGTGTATTTCTTTCTATTTCTATCACTGTGTCGTCCTAATAAATTATTGTACACTACTCTGTTAAGACTGAATACCATGCCTTAAAACACTAATGTACTGTAAAAGGCTACTAAAGGGGGACTGGGTTCCGGGAATGAAATCATTTTGCAATGTAAAATTGAATTGATAGATTTCCATTGGAGGGTTCCGGGAGTGATTCCCCCCAGCCCCCGGGAGTCAATTCCAATTCTAATCAATTTAATTAATGACTTTAGAAATCCCCAGGCACTTGTCTATTTATTAATGCAGTTCACCAAATATAATGAGAATATCATAAATATAATTCCACTATGCCTAAAGTCTGTTTCATTTACTGGTTCACTAGTACAGAAGATGCCTTTTGAGGATATGAAGGTCAAAGTACAGAGACTCACATTGTTAGAATTCTTCAACAAAGAGAATTCTTCATTTCATGCCGCTAATGCTGACTGGTTCAATGACCCTCAAGAAATCACTATTGTCTAAAACATCAAACAAAAGGGGTTAGTTTGTCTGTTTGTATTCTACATGTCATTATGTTATAAAGAAGGTACATACATCTGTCAAAACAATCACTAATTTATAGTTTTGAACTGAACAATTAAGAGCTGAGCCAGAAGTAAAAGTCTCTGTCAAACAAAACCCATAAGGCCTGAGGTTGTCTGTTCCTTGAAAACTATATCCTGAAAAAACAACCCAGTTGAAGTCTGTAAGGAAATGAATAAGGAAAAGTCAGCTAGGGGCTTTAGATCTACAAGGTTAGGGTGTGTGTGTGTGTGTGTGTGTGTGTGTGTGTGTGTGTGTGTGTGTGTGTGTGTGTGTGTGTGTGTGTGTGTGTGTGTGTGTGTGTGTGTGTGTGTGTGTGTGTGTGTGGCAATGAGTACCCTCTTGGAGGTTACAAAAACAAAATGAACAATGAACACAATGCTGTGACTGCAGATTCTTATCGTCAGTGAAGCACTCAATGTGAATCCAAAAAGAAAGGCAATGAAAGACAGACTGGATACTCACAAAATGACAAATATGATGAATCATTGCATGGGGTGAGAGAGAGCATCAACTCACTCCATCACTATTACTGCAGCTTTGTTGTTGAGAGGACCGAATGGGGAAAGGTAGCACAAGGTAAGTAGGGGTGGCAGCTGGGGTGGCAGGTAGCCTAGCGGTTAGAGCATTGGCCCAGTAACTGAAAGGTTGCTGGTTCGAATACTCGAGCAAGGAACTTAACGCTAATTTGCTCCAGGGGCGCCATACTACTACGGCTGACCTCGTAGAACAACCCATCTGGACCTATCTGGTGACAATAAAACGTTAATTTTTTTATTGTCCATTGTTGTTATTAATTCACAGAAAAATAGAGCAATACATTTGGGAATCATACAACAATGCAAAACAAAGCTGTCAGGCTTGCTCAACCTGTCCCTCTATTGAGTCAATTACTGTGAAATGTACATACAGTTGAAGTCGGAAGTTTACATACACTTAGGTTGGAGTCATTAAAACTTGTTTTTCAACCACTCCACAAATGTCTTGTTAACAAACTATAGTTTTGGCAAGTCGGATAGGACATCTACTTTGTGCATGACACAAGTCATTTTTCCAACAATTGTTTACAGACAGATTATTTCACTTATAATTCACTGTATCACAATTCCATTGGGTCAGAAGTTTACATACACTAAGTTGACAGCGCCTTTAAACAGCTTGGAACATTCCAGAAAATGGTGTCATGGCTTTAGAAGCTTCTGATAGGCTAATTGACATAATTTGAGGTGTACCTGTGGATGTATTTAAAGGCATACTTTCAAACTCAGTGCCTCTTTGCTTGACATCATGGGAAAATCAAAAGAAATCAGCTAAGACCTCAGAAAAAAAATGGTAGACCTCCACAAGTCTGTTTCATCCTTAGGAGCAATTTCCAAATGCCTGAAGGTACCACGTTCATCTGTACAAACAATAGTCATGGGACCACGCAGCCGTCATACTGCTCAGGAAGGAGGCGTGTTCTGTCTCCTAGAGATGAACGTACTTCGGTGCGAAAAGTGCAAATCAATCCCAGAACAACAGCAAAGGACCTTGTGAAGATGCTGGAGGAAACAGGTACAAAAGTATCTATATCCACAGTAAAACGAGTCCTATATCGACATAACCTGAAAGGCCGCTCAGCAAGGAAGAAGCAACTGCTCCAAAACTGCCATAAAAAAGCCAGACTACGGTTTGCAACTGCACATGGGGACAAAGATCGTACTTTTGGAGAAATGTCCTCTGGTCTGATGAAACAAAAATTGAACTGTTTGGCCATAATGACCATCGTTATGTTTGGAGGAAAAAGGGGGCCGCTTGCAAGCTGAAGAACACCATCCCAACCGTGAAGCACGGGGGTGGCAGCATATCATGCTGTGGGGGTGCTTTGCTGCAGGAGGGACTGGTGCACTTCATAAAATACATGACATCATGAAGAAGGAAAATTATGTGGATATATTGAAGCAACATCTCAAGACTCAAGACATCAGTCAGGAAGTTAAAGCTTGGTCGCAAATGGATCTTCCAAATGGACAATGACCCCAAGCATACTTCCAAAGTTATGGCAAAATGGCTTAAGGACAACAAAGTAAAGGTATTGGAGTGGCCATCACAAAGCCCTGACCTCAATCCTATAGAAAATGTGTGGGCAGAACTGAAAAAGCGTGTGCGAGCAAGGAGGCCTACAAACCTGACTCAGTTATACCAGCTCTGTCAGGAGGAATGGGCCAAAATTCACCCAACTTATTGTGGGAAGCTTGTGGAAGGCTACCCAAAACGTTTGACCCAAGTTAAACAATTTAAAGGCAATGCTACCAAATACTAATTGAGTGTATGTAAACTTCTGACCCACTGGGAATGTGGTGAAAGAAATAAAAGCTGAAATAAATCACTCTCTCCTATTATTCTGACATTTCACATTCTTAAAATAAAAGTGGTGATCTTAACTGACCTAAGACAGGGAATTTGTACTAGGATTAAATGTCAGGAATTGTGAAAAACTGAGTTTAAATGTATTTGGCTAAGGTGTATGTAAATTTCCGATTTCAACATTACAGAAATGACATCATTGATGGACATTACTGTGTGTCTTAGCTGTCATTACAATCAATTGCTAACTGACCACACATATACACTACCATTCAAAAGTTTGGGGTCACTTAGAAATGTCCTTGTTTTCGAAAGAAAAGCAATTTTCTTGTCCATTAAAATAACATCAAATTGATCAGAAATACAGTGTAGACATTGTTAATGTCGTAAATGGCTATTGTAGCTGGAAACTGCTGATTTTTAATGGAATATCTACGTAGGCGTGCAAAGGCCCATCATCATCAACCATCAGTCCTGTGTTCCAATGGCACGTTGTGTTTGCTTATCCAAGTTTATCATTTTAAAAGGCTAATTGATCATTAGAAAACCCTTTTACAATTATGTTAGCACAGCTGAAAACTGTTGTGCTGATTAAATAAGCAATACAACTGGCCTTCTTGAGACTAGTTGAGTATCTGGAGCATCAGCAATTGTGGGTTTGATTACAGGCTCAAAATGGACAGAAACAAATAACTTTCTTCTGAAACCCGTCAGTCTATTCTTGTTCTGAGAAATGAAGGCTATTCCATGCGAGACATTGCCAAGAAACTGAAGATCTTGTACAATGCTGTGTACTACTCCCTTCACAGAACAGCGCAAACTGGCTCTAACCAGAATAGAAAGAGGAGTGGGAGGCCCCGGTGCACAACTGAGTAAGAGGACAAATACATTAGAGTGTCTAGTTTGACAAACAGACGCCTCACAGGTCCTCAACTGGCAGCTTCATTAAATAGTACCCGCAAAACACCAGTCTCAACGTCAACAGTGAAGAGTGAAGATGCTGACCTAGGCAGAGTTGCCCCATGTAGCTCAGTTGGTAGAGCATGGCGCTTGCAACACCAGGGTTGTGGGTTCGATTCCCACGGGGGCCCAGTATGTAAAATGTATGCACTCACTAATTGTAAGTTGCTCTGGACAAGAGTGTCTACTAAATGACTAAAATGTTTTTTTTTTATGTAGACCGGTGGAAATTTGTCCTTTCGTCTGGAGTCCAAATTTGAAATTTTGGTTCCAACTGCCGTGTCTTTGTGAGACGCGGTGTGGGTGAACGGATAATCTCTGTATGTGTATTTCCCACCGTAAAGCATGGAGGAGGAGGTGTTATGGTGTGGGGGTGCTTTGCTGGTTACACTGTCTGTGATTTATTTAGAATTCAAGGTACACTTAAACAGCATGGTACCTCAGCATTCTGCAGCGATACGCCATCCTATCTGGTTTGGGCTTAGTGGGACTATCATTATTTTTTTCAACAGAACAATTACCCAACACACCTCCAGGCTGTTTAAGGGCTATTTTACCAAGAACGAGAGTTATGGAGTGCTGCATCAGATAACCTGGCTTCCACAATCCCCCAACCTCCTTCAAGACTGTTGGAAAAACATTCCAGGTGAAGCTGTTGGAGAGAATGCCAAGAGTGTGCAAAGCTCTCATCAAGGCAAAGGGTGGCTATTTGAAGAATCTCAAATATATTTTGATTTGTTTAACACTTTTTTGGTTACTACATGATTCCATATGTGTTATTTCATAGTTGTGATGTCTTCACTATTATTCTACAATGTAGAAAATAGTAAAAATAAAGAAAAACCCTTGAATGAGTAGGTGTTCTAAAACTTTTCACCGGTAGTGTATATATTTAAAATAATATATATATATTTTTTAATATATGGGGTATTTGAAATGATGCAGACAATTGCATTGATAGAAGCCACAATCTATTTGCAATATTAAAGCTGATCCACCCCCTAAATAAAAAATTAAAAACACCTTGCTAGGGAAGGGCCGGGTGTTGGAGAAGAACAAGCGGAGAAGTAACTTTAATGAGCATCAGTAAAAAGGAAGTCACAACATGTAACTATTAACTGTAGTGGTGTTAGCTGGGTGGAGGGAGGGAGCTGACTAAGGACAGGATAAAACAGTCAATGAAAGGGTAATTTAGTATAAAAAGGCCCGGTTTCAGGGTTACGTCTGAACACAGCAGTCTTACATCCCAGTGTTAGACACAATGTGCAGTACCACTACTACTCACAGGCAGGATAAACTAACGGGAAGAGATGGAACACTGTGTGAGTCAGCATTTAGGCTATTATTATTCTAACGCCTCTTTCAGCACATACTCTTCCTTTGTAACCCTGAATGGCTGATAAAGCAATGCCTTGACACAAGCCTTTCTTATCGCAATATGCAACCGAGTCGCTCCCTCTCTCTCACACACGCATGCGCACACACACACACACACACAGAGAGAGAGAGACTTAATTGCAACCCACCTTTCCACTGAATTCAAACTATGGAGATGTCCTTGTGCAACTATTATAAGGCTGCAGATGAAATAGTGTTTAGTGCAGTCACTCTGATATCTGTGTATGAACAGCCTTGCCCTTGACATACAGTTGAAGTCAGAAGTTTACATACACCTTAGCCAAATACATTTAAACTCAGTTTTTCACAATTCCTGACATTTAATCCTAGTAAAGATTCCCTGTCTTAGGTCAGTTAGGATCACCACTTTATTATAAGAATGTGAAATGTCAGAATAATAGCAGAGAGAATTCTTTATTTCAGCTTTTATTTCTTTCATCACATTCCCAGTGGGTCAGAAGTTTACATACACTCAATTAGTATTTAGTAGCATTGCCTTTAAATTGTTTAACTTGGGTAAAACATTTCGGGTAACCTTTCACAAGCTTCGCACAATAAGTTGGGTGAATTTTGGCCCATTCCTCCTGACAGAGCTGGTGTAACTGAGTCAGGTTTGAGGTCAGGGCTTTGTGACGGCCACTCCAATACCTTGACTTTGTTGTCCTTAAGCCATTTTGCCACAACTTTGGAAGTATGCTAGCGATCATTGTCCATTTGGAAGACCCATTTGCGACCAAGATTTAACTTCCTGACTGATGTCTTGAGATGTCGCTTCAATATACAGTGGGGGAAAAAAAGTATTTAGTCAGCCACCAATTGTGCAAGTTCTCCCACTTAAAAAGATGAGAGAGGCCTGTAATTTTCATCATAGGTACACGTCAACTATGACAGACAAATTGAGAATTTTTTTCTCCAGAAAATCACATTGTAGGATTTTTTATGAATTTATTTGCAAATTATGGTGGAAAATAAGTATTTGGTCACCTACAAACAAGCAAGATTTCTGTCTCTCACAGACCTGTAACTTCTTCTTTAAGAGGCTCCTCTGTCCTCCACTCGTTACCTGTATTAATGGCACCTGTTTGAACTTGTTATCAGTATAAAAGACACCTGTCCACAACCTCAAACAGTCACACTCCAAGCTCCACTATGGCCAAGACCAAAGAGCTGTCAAAGGACACCAGAAACAAAATTGTAGACCTGCACCAGGCTGGGAAGACTGAATCTGTAATAGGTAAGCAGCTTGGTTTGAAGAAATCAACTGTGGGAGCAATTATTAGGAAATGGAAGACATACAAGACCACTGATAATCTCCCTCGATCTGGGGCTCCACGCAAGATCTCACCCCGTGGGGTCAAAATGATCACAAGAACGGTGAGCAAAAATCCCAGTACCACACGGGGGGACCTAGTGAATGACCTGCAGAGAGCTGGGACCAAAGTAACAAAGCCTATCATCAGTAACACACTACGCCACCAGGGACTCAAATCCTGCAGTGCCAGATGTGTCCCCCTGCTTAAGCCAGTACATGTCCAGGCCCGTCTGAAGTTTGCTAGAGTGCATTTGGATGATCCAGAAGAGGATTGGGAGAATGTCATATGGTCAGATGAAACCAAAATAGAACTTTTTGGTAAAAACTCAACTCGTCGTCTTTGGAGGACAAAGAATGCTGAGTTGCATCCAAAGAACACCATACCTACTGTGAAGCATGGGGGTGGAAACATCATGCTTTGGGGCTGTTTTTCTGCAAAGGGACCAGGACGACTGAACCGTGTAAAGGAAAGAATGAATGGGGCCATGTATCGTGAGATTTTGAGTGAAAACCTCCTTCCATCAGCAAGGGCATTGAAGATGAAACTTGGCTTGGTCTTTCAGCATGACAATGATCCCAAACACACAACCCGGGCAACGAAGGAGTGGCTTCGTAAGAAGAATTTCAAGGTCCTGGAGTGGCCTAGCCAGTCTCCAGATCTCAACACCATAGAAAATCTTTGGAGGGAGTTGAAAGTCCGTGTTGCCCAGCGACAGCCCCAAAACATCACTGCTCTAGAGGAGATCTGCATGGAGGAATGGGCCAAAATACCAGCAACAGTGTGTGAAAACCTTGTGAAGACTTACAGAAAACGTTTGACCTGTGTTATTGCCAACAAAGGGTATATAACAAAGTATTGAGAAACTTTTGTTATTGACCAAATACTTATTTTCCACCATAATTTGCAAATAAATTCATTAAAAATCCTACAATGTGAATTTCTGGAGAAAAAAAATCTCATTTTGTCTGTCATAGTTGACGTGTACCTATGATGAAAATTACAGGCCTCTCTCATCTTTTTAAGTGGGAGAACTTGCACAATTGGTGGCTGACTAAATACTTTTTTTCACCACTGTACACTGCTCAAAAAAATAAAGGGAACACTTAAACAACACAATGTAACTCCAAGTCAATCACACTTCTGTGAAATCAAACTGTTCACTTAGGAAGCAACACTGATTGACAATACATTTCACATGCTGTTGTGCAAATGGAAAAGACAACAGGTGGAAATTATAGGCAATTAGCAAGACACCCCCAATAAAGGAGTGGTTCTGCAGGTGGTGACCACAGACCACTTCTCAGTTCCTATGCTTCCTGGCTGATGTTTTGGTCACTTTTGAATGCTGGCGGTGCTTTCACTCTAGTGGTAGCATGAGACGGAGTCTACAACTCACACAAGTGGCTCAGGTAGTGCAGCTCATCCAGGATGGCACATCAATGCGAGCTGTGGCAAGAAGGTTTGCCATGTCTGTCAGCGTAGTGTCCAGAGCATGGAGGCGCTACCAGGAGACAGGCCAGTACATCAGGAGACGTGGAGGAGGCCGTAGGAGGGCAACAACCCAGCAGCAGGACCGCTACCTCCGCCTTTGTGCAAGGAGGAGCAGGAGGAGCACTGCCAGAGCCCTGCAAAATGACCTCCAGCAGGCCACAAATGTGCATGTGTCTGCTCAAACGGTCAGAAACAGACTCCATGAGGGTGGTATGAGGGCCCGACGTACACAGGTGGGGGTTGTGCTTACAGCCCAACACCGTACAGGACGTTTGGCATTTGCCAGAGAACACCAAGATTGGCAAATTCGCCACTGGCGCCCTGTGCTCTTCACAGATGAAAGCAGGTTCACACTGAGCACATGTGACAGACGTGACAGAGTCTGGAGACGCCGTGGAGAACGTTCTGCTACCTGCAACATCCTCCAGCATGACCGGTTTGGCGGTGGGTCAGTCATGTTGTGGGGTGGCATTTCTTTGGGGGGGCCGCACAGCCCTCCATGTGCTCGCCAGAGGTAGCCTGACTGCCATTAGGTACCGAGATGAGATCCTCAGACCCCTTGTGAGACCATATGCTGGTGCGGTTGGCCCTGGGTTCCTCCTAATGCAAGACAATGCTAGACCTCATGTGGCTGGAGTGTGTCAGCAGTTCCTGCAAGAGGAAGGCATTGATGCTATGGACTGGCCCGCCCGTTCCCCAGACCTGATTCCAATTGAGCACATCTGGGACATCATGTCTCGCTCCATCCACCAACGCCACGTTGCACCACAGACTGTCCAGGAGTTGGCGGATGCTTTAGTCCAGGTCTGGGAGGAGATCCCTCAGGAGACCATCCGCCACCTCATCGGGAGCATGCCCAGGCGTTGTAGGGAGGTCATACAGGCACGTGGAGACCACACACACTACTGAGCCTCATTTTGACTTGTTTTAAGGACATTACATCAAAGTTGGATCAGCCTGTAGTGTGGTTTTCCACTTCAATTTTGAGTGTGACTCCAAATCCAGACCTCCATGGGTTGATACATTTGATTTCCATTGATAATTTTTGTGTGATTTTGTTGTCAGCACATTCAACTATGTAAAGAAAAAAGTATTTAATAAGATTATTTCATTCATTCAGATCTAGGACGTGTTCTTTTAGTGTTCCCTTTATTTTTTTTGAGCAGTGTATCCACATCATTTTCCTTCCTCATGATGCCATCTATTTTGTGCAGTGCACCAGTCCCTCCTGCAGCAAAGCACCCCCACAGCATGATGCTGCCACCCCCGTGTTTCACGGTTGGGATGGTGTTCTTCAGCTTGCAAGCAGCCCACTTTTTCCTCCAAACATAACAATGCTCATTATGGCCAAACAGTTCTATTTTTGTTTCATCAGACGAGAGGACATTTCTCAAAAAAGTACGATCTTTGTCCCCATGTGCAGTTGCATACCGTAGTCTGGCTTTTTTATGGTGTTTTTGGAGCAGTGGCTTCTTCCTTGCTGAGCGGCCTTTCAGGTTATGTCGATATAGGACTCGTTTTACTGTGGATATACAGTGGGGAGAACAAGTATTTGATACACTGCTGATTTTGCAGGTTTTCCTACTTACAAAGCATGTAGAGGTCTGTAATTTTTATCATAGGTACACTTAAACTGTGAGATACGGAATCTAAAACAAAAATCCAGAAAATCACATTGTATGATTTTTAAGTAATTAATTTGCATTTTATTGCATGACATAAGTATTTGATCACCTACCAACCAGTAAGAATTCCGGCTCTCACAGACCTGTTAGTTTTTCTTTAAGAAGCCCTCCTGTTCTCCACTCATTACCTGTATTAACTGCACCTGTTTGAACTCGTTACCTGTATAAAAGACACCTGTCCACACACTCAATCAAACAGACTCCAACCTCTCCACAGTGGCCAAGACCAGAGAGCTGTGTAAGGACATCAGGGATAAAATTGTAGACCTGCACAAGGCTGGGATGGGCTACAGGACAATAGGCAAACAGCTTGGTGAGAAGGCAACAACTGTTGGCGCAATTATTAGAAAATGGAAGAAGTTCAAGATGACGGTCAATCATCCTCGGTCTGGGGCTCCATGCAAGATCTCACCTCGTGGGGCATCAATGATCATGAGGAAGGTGAGGGATCAGCCCAGAACTACACAGCAGGACCTGGTCAATGACTTGAAGAGAGCTGGGACCACAGTCTCAAAGAAAACCATTAGTAACACACTACGCCGTCATGGATTAAAATCCTGCAGAGCACGCAAGGTCCCCCTGCTCAAGCCAGCGCATGTCCAGGCCCTTCTGAAGTTTGCCAATGACCATCTGGATGATCCAGAGGAGGAATGGGAGAAGGTCATGTGGTCTGATGAGACACAAATAGAGCTTTTTGGTCTAAACTCCACTCGCCGTGTTTGGAGGAAGAAGAAGGATGAGTACAACCCCAAGAACACCATCCCAACCGTGAAGCATAGAGGTGGAAACATCATTCTTTGGGGATGCTTGTCTGCAAAGGGGACAGGACGACTGCACCGTATTGAGGGGAGGATGGATGGGGCCATGTATCGCGAGATCTTGGCCAACAACCTCCTTCCCTCAGTAAGAGCATTGAAGATGGGTCGTGGCTGGGTCTTGCAGCAAGACAACGACCCGAAACACACAGCCAGGGCAACTAAGGAGTGGCTCCCTAAGAAGCATCTCAAGGTCCTGGATTGGTGTAGCCAGTCACCAGACCTGAACCCAATAGAAAATCTTTGGAGGGAGCTGAAAGTCCGTATTGCCCAGCGACAGCCCCGAAACCTGAAGGATCTGGAGAAGGTCTGTATGCAGGAGTGGGCCAAAATCCCTGCTGCAGTGTGTGCAAACCTGGTCAAGACCTACAGGAAACATATGATCTTTGTAATTGCAAACAAATGTTTCTGTACCAAATATTAAGTTCTGCTTTTCTGATGTATCAAATACTTATGTCATGCAATAAAATGCAAAAGAATTACTTAAAAATCATACAATGTGATTTTCTGGATTTTTGTTTTAGATTCCGTCTCTCACAGTTGAAGTGTACCTATGATAAACATTACAGACCTCTACATGCTTTGTAAGTAGGAAAACCTGCAAAATCGGCAGTGTATCAAATACTTGTTCTCCCCACTGTATATACTTTTGTACCTGTTTCCTCCAGCATCTTCACAAGGTCCTTTGCTGTTGTTCTGGGATTGATTTGCACTTTTCGCACCAAAGTACGTTAATCTCTAGGAGACAGAACACATCTCCTTCCTGAGCGGTATGACGGCTGCATGGTCCCATGGTGTTTATACTTGCGTACTATTGTTTGTACAGATGAACGTGGTACTCTCAGGCATTTGGAAATTGCTCCCAAGGATGAACCAGACTTGTGGAGGTCTGCAATTTCTTTTCTGAGGTCTTGGCTGATTTCTTTGGATTTTCCCATGATGTCAAGCAAAGAGGCACTGAGTTTGAAGGTAGGCCTTGAAATACATCCACAGGTACACCTCCAATTGACTCAAATGATGTCAATTAGCCTATCAGAAGCTTCTAAAGCCATGACATCATTTTTCTGGAATTTTCAAAGCTGTTTAAAAGGCACAGTCAACTTAGTGTATTGTAAACTTCCGATCCACTGGAATTACCAAAATTATAGTTTGTTAACAAGAAATGTGTGGAGTGGTTGAAAAACGAGTTTGAATGATTCCAACCTAAGTGTATGTAAACTTCCGACTTCGACTGTAGCTATGCCTCAGAGCAGGTACTCCGTACCTTCGTTATGAAAATATAAAATAAAATAAATAAGTTCAAAGAACAAATGTGTTGCCATGTCGCTTTTCCAAATCACAATTTATCCTCATGGAAATCATGCAATAATAATGTTATTTTATTACACTATGTAACATTAGGCATTAATATTCAACAGTCTATAGTTTATGGTACCCATAGTACAGGTGTAGGATCTTAATTTGACCTGTTTCTCACAGCAGAATCCTACAGCAACAGGAAATGTGAATTCTTGTGTGGATTATAATTAATGGGTATTTTATGTAGGGGTTGATAAATATTTTGTCACAGCAAATCAAGTCTGACATTTGTATGTGGAAATTACAAACTTTAGAAACCTTTAATACACTACAAGTGATCAACAGGGTGATCAAATTAAGATCCTACATCTGTACATCTGCCCTACTTCTAGCTATGTGTCATAACAGTAACACACACAGAGGCCTTAAGAGACTGATATCTCCAAGGTCCATGTTCCCCCTTCAGAAAATAGTTGAGGGAGGGCTTGCAGGTATACGCAAACACAGTTCAGAGTTAGTAAGAAATCATTGCCAGAGAGATTTGTGCTGGTGTCAATGTCTACACACAGTGCCATGTTTGAAACTGCTCTTTGAATAAAACATGTTATTTTTCAAAGGCAACTCTGGTCCTTTAGAAAAAGTCAAAATGAAATGACTGAAATAATCTGAATCAACTGCACCTGTTTGGGAGAGAGGTAGAAGCTCTCTGCAGCTGGCAGCGGCTAGTGAGAATTGGCAGTGAGGCTGTGTCATTACCATTAACACTGAGTTATCTGCTTTAAGTCAAACATTACACGGCCTGTGTGGGAGCTGGTACAGCCACGGTCAAGTCCCTACCCCCTGAGAGTGAAGGAGAGCACAGAGACAATAATGTGTTTGTTTTTCACCGAAAAACACTCTGGAATGTGAGGCCAAGTCTGGATTTGTGCTCCGCAGAAATCAGGTACACCACAGTCAACCATGAGAAAAGTTCCTGAATATGGCTCAAGCTGTGTGTATATTGGTTTTATATAATATAGATTTCTGAAGCACTCAAAACGATAATCCTATGGGATGCTGCAAAAGTTTATAGTATTTTATACAACACCTAAGGTGTATGAACCAGGTTGTATGAGTTGCCATGGACATCCTTTGACCAGACACAGAAAAACGGTTTTGAGAGGCTATGAGGATGGCATATGAAAGTAGGTCTGAGAAGAATTCAGGTCTGAGAAAACATGTTCTGCTGAAGTTTGGCATTTGAGCTAAAGGGCAACAATAACAATAATGTCACATGAACCCATCACTGTCACACAGGAAAAAGGACTATCAGCATGGAGATCCTCAGCGCTGTCTCCAGACTGACTCCTACTCAGATCGCATGAAACCAATTACTATCATGGAGAATGCACTTTAAAGTGGAACTGACAGCATTTTAGCGACATGAAATCTTATTCAAATCTGTTCATATACACCTCCAGGAAGACTATGACAAGCATTTAGATATGGTCATTTTCACGTTTTCATAAATTCGTAGAATGTTTGGGAATTACGTATACTAAAGCATTTGTGAAGATTCTATAGCAATATAGAGTGGGAAACCGGCCGTGCGTTTGGATAATTAAGACACTGCAGTAAAATAAAACCTAATAAAAACATCTCTGTCTCATCCAGTCAGAGCTACAGTAGCCCTTTATGCAAACAAGCCAATTGCACAAAGGCCTGGCATCATTAACTTTGAATTGGACTGTGTGTTTACAGGCAGTTGCAACAGCGTGACTTTAGATCATTAAAACGCATTCGCCAAAAGCCACAAAATACACCTGAATGGATTGCTGCAAAAATTCTAAATACCACTTGGGAGTCCTCTTACATTTGGGAACTTTACAGTCCTATTGATCAAACAACCATGAAAAGGTAGGCTCGCTCTCCCTCAGTTATGCACATCAACAAATAGATCAACAACTAATGCTAGCCAGAGAAAGATGAGCTAACATCTAACGAAGGAATATGAGATAAACCCTATCACACTTTTTCAGCTAGTTGGCCTTCAAAATTGCACTGATAAAAGATGTGGAATTGTAGCCTACATGTCCTTCTGAAGCTTGCCTGCCAACAATGGATGCTTGTCCCAACCAAGCACCCAAAGCTAACTGGCTAAAGTTGGCTAGCTTGCTAGCTAGCTACTTCCAGACACAAATGAGAAAACACCTCACTCTGACCATTTTACTCGCCCTAGCAGAGTTGGTTAGGCTGTTTACATGTTATCTAGAGTGTTCGTGACTAGCAATTACTTTCTTTGCCTACGTTTATTGACACTGGTCATATTCAGTGGATGTTGCGCGTTTGTAAATACATCAGTTATTCAGCGCTCTCGCACACTCAGATGAGAGTGCTCTGAAATCGGAGTAGATAGATAGCCAGAGAGAATTTGCGAACGCAAGAGATATGCTAACTGGATAACAGTCGTTAAAGTTCTTGCTAGCTAACCAAATGACACCTGCATCTCTAGCGGTGTATAGCCACCAAAAAACAATATGAGGGGAAAATGTCAGTCACTCACCCACTTCTCCAATGACATGATATGATGTCCTCCTAGCAGCTAGCTAGCTAGCTAACGTTAGGCTCTGTGTTTTTAGCTCGCTACATAAATAGATGCGCTAGCCTATTAGCCACGTTATGACTGACTTGTGATCATTGACCTTGCTAGTTTGATTGTATTGTCATTCCCAGCCTTAGTTACATTTGTCAGTTTTTGTCCAAAATATTGAGGCATATACAGTAACAGTCAAAAGTTTGGACACACCTACACATTCATGGGTTTTTCTTTATTTTTTTACAATTTTCTACATTGTAGAATAATACTGAAGACATCAAAACTATGAAATAACACATATGGAATCATGTAGTAACCAAGAAAAGTGTTAAACAAATCAAAATATATTTGAGATTTTAGATTCTTCAAAGTAGCCACACTTTGCCTTGATGACAGCTTTGCACACTCTTGGCATTCTCTCAACCAGCTTCATGAGGAATGCTTTTCCAACAGTCTTGAAGGAGTTCCCACATATGCTAAGCACTTGTTGGCTGCTCTTCCTTCACTCTGTGGTCTGACTCATCCCAAACCATCTCAATTGGGTTGAGGTCGGGTGATTGTGGAGGCCAGGTCATCTGATGCAGCACTCCATCACTCACCTTCTTGGTCAAATAGACCTTACACAGCCTGGAGGTGTGTTTTGGGTCATTGTCCTGTTGGGAAAAAAAATGATAGTCCCACTAAGTGCAAACCAGATGGGATGGTGTATCACTGCAGAATGCTGTGGTAGCCATGCTGGTTAAGTGTGCCTTGAATTCTAAATAAATCACTGACAGTGTCACCAGCAAAGCACCCCCACACCATCACACCTCCTCCTCCATGCTTCATGGTGGGAACCACACATGCAGAGATCATCCATTCACCTGCTCTGCGTCTCACAAAGACACAGTGGTTGGAACCAAAAATCTCAAATTTGGACTCATCAGACCAAATGACAGATTTCCACCGGTCTAATGTCCATTCCTCGTGTTTCTTGGCACAAGCAAGTCTCTTCTTCTTATTGGTGTCCTTTAGTAGTGGTTTCTTTGCAGCAATTCGACCATGAAGGCCTGATTCACGCAGTCTCCTGTTAACAGTTGATGTTGAGATGTGTCTGTTACTTGAACTCTGTGAAGCATTTATTTGGGCTGCAATTTCTGAGGCTGGTAACTCTAATTAACTTATCCTCTGCAGCAGAGGTAACTCTGGGTCTTCCTTTCCTGTGGCAGTCCTCATGAGAGCCAATTTCATCATAGCGCTTGATGGTTTTTGCGACTGCATTTTCCGGATTGACTGGCCTTCATGTCTTAAATAAATGATGGAATGTTGTTTCTCTTTGCTTATTTGAGCTGTTCTTGCATAATATGGACTGTCTTTTACCAAATAGGGCTATCTTCTGTATACCACCCCTACCTTGTCACAACACAACTGATTGGCTCCAACGCATTAAGAAGGAAGGAAATGCCATAAATTAACTTTTAACAAGGCACACCTGTTAATTGAAATGCATTCCAGGTGACTACCTCATGAAGCTGGTTGAGAGAATGCCAAGCGTGTGCAAAGCTGTCATCAAGGGAAAGGGTGGCTATTTGAAGAATCTCAAATATAAAATATATTTTGATTTGTTTAACACTTTTTTGGTTACTACATGATACCATATGTGTTATATCGTAGTTTTGATTTCTTCACTATTATTCTACAATGTAGAAAATAGTAAAAAATAAAGAAAAACCCTGGAATGAGTAGGTGTGTCCAAACTTTTGACTGGTCCTCTAGGTCATCAGAAAGATCAAGATGCAATAACCAAAGTAGATTTACTCCAATACAGTCTGACCAAGAAGCACTCTCCTTAGACATCAAAAGACACAGCAATATCCTAAGTTGAATGCACCAATTTGTAAGTCGCTCTGGATAAGAGCGTCTGCTAAATGACAAATGTAAATATAAGGAAATCAGTCAATTGAAATATAGAAATTAGGTCCTAATCTATGGATTTCACATGACTGGGCAAGGGCGCAGCCATTGGTGGGCCTGGAAGGGCATAGGCCCACCCACTTGGGAGCCAGGCCCACCCACTGGGGAGCAAGGCCTTGCCAATCAGAATGAGGTTTTCCTCACAAAAGGGCTTTATTACAGACAGAAATACGCCTCAGCACCCTCTCAGACAATCTCGCAGGTGAAGAATCCGGATGTGGAGGTCCTGGGATGACGTGGTTACACGTGGTCTGCGGTTGTGAGGCCGGTTGGACATACTGCCAAATTCTCTAAAATGATGTTGGAGGCGGCTAATGGTAGAGAAATTAACATTCAATTATCTGGCAACAGCTCTGGTGGACATTCCTGCAGTCAGCATGACAATTGCACACTCCCTCAAAACTTGAGGCATCTGTGGTATTGTGTGACAAAACTGCACATTTTAGAGTGGACTTTTATTGTCCACAGCACAAGATGCACCTGTTTAATCAGCTTCTTGATATGCCACACCTGTCAGGTGGATGGATTATCTTGGCAAAGGAGAAATGCTCACTAACTGGGATGTAAACAAATTTGTGCAAAAAATTTGAGAGAAATAAGATTTTGGTGTGTATGAAACATTTCTGGGATATTTTATTTCAGCTCATGAAACATGGGACCAGCACTTTACATGTTGCGTTTATATTTTTGTTCCGTATAATATCTCTCAAGAAGTTGTGAAATAAATAAGCCTGCAGCCTAATTAATAGACACCTGCTGCTCTACTCTTTAATAAAGACACTACTTAATGTGTGAAGGAAAACAGTAACAGTTTGACTGAAGACCCAGCAGGAAAGTTGTGTTTATCCTTTTGCAGTATTTATAATATTATTTCTGTTAGACTGTGTCAGCAATAGACTGTACCAGCAACGCCTCCCCAGTCATAACTACCATTGAGCAAGGCACAATAATGAGGAAGATCAGCCTGAGGCTTTAGTAATGCAAACAGGAGAGAAGGCCTGTAATCAAATCAATGAGTTCCTATACAGATATTCAGAAAGGGAGAGAACACTGATATGAACTAATGACTCACAGGAGAGGCAATTAGTGAGGTATTGCCTTTGGGGACTCCCTAAAAACAGGCCACTTTGATACATCTATGACCAGAAGTTACTTTTCATAGCAGGTTAGGAGAGCATTTTCGCTAACCCTTTTCCTAACCTTAAACAATTTATCCTAACCTGCTACGTTAATTATAGTAACCTGCCACATTAGTTCTCATAACCTGCTACGGTCATAGCTGTATCAAAGTATATATTAGGGAATCATAATGGGATGTTGTGCTCCTCACATGCTGCACTGTTATGATCAGGCTAAATCAGTAGACTGCCTAGGCTGCTAAAACAAACAGTGTCACTCAATGGGAGGTGAAGGCAACAGGAGCGAAATAAAAAGCAACAGGGGAGAAAGCAATGTTATTCCATAGGCTTGTTTCACTATAACAACTGGTTGTTGCACCTCTGCTGAGTCAATTAATTGACAGAGTAAAACATTTACATTTACAATTACGTCATTCAGCAGGCGCTCTTATCCAGAGCGACTTACAAATTGGTGCATTCAATTTATGATAGCCAGTGGGACAACCACTTTTTTTTTTTTTTTTTTTTTTTTTTTTTAATGGGGGGGTGGGGTAAGAAGGATTACTTTTATACTATTCCAGGTATTCCTTAAAGAGGTAAGGTTTCAAGTGTCTCCGGAAGGTGGTCAGTGACTTCGCTGTCCTGGCGTCGTGGGGGAGCTTGTTTCACCATTGGGGTGACAGAGCAGCGAATAGCTTTGACTGGGCTGAGCGGGAACTGTGCTTCCGTAGAGGTAGGGGGGCTAACAGGCCAGAGGTGGATGAACGTAGTGCCCTCGTTTGGGTGTAGGGTCTGATCAGAGCATGAAGGTAAGGAGGTGCCGTTCCCCTCACAGCTCCGTAGGCAAGCACCATGGTCTTGTAGTAGATGCGAGCCTCAACTGGAAGCCAGTGGAGTGTGCGGAGGAGCGGGGTGACATGAGAGAAGTTGGGAAGGTTGAACACCAGATGGGCTGCAGCATTCTGGATAAATTGTAGGGGTTTAATGGCAAAGGCAGGGAGCCCAGCCAACAGCGAGTTGCAGTAATCCAGACGGGAGATGACAAGTGCCTGGATTAGGACCTGTGCCGCTTTCTGTGTAAAGTAGGGTCGTACTCTGCGTGAGATAACATTTTTAGGCCTATCTTATAACTTACTACATTATAAAAAATGTTTTTACATGTTGAGTCAGATGATTATTACACAAGTGGAATATTGTGCAGTCCCTGTTCTTGTATAATTACAACCACTATTGAAGACAAATAGAGTAGTGACATTGTGGTGCTACATTATTGCCTTAGGCTATTACAACAGTGATTATTCATTTTAAAAAAAGAATTGTGGAACTAACTCCAAAGCACTTTCTAGAGCAATCTATAAATAGTAAGGCTGTGACTATTACTGGACAGATCCGAGAACACTCACTCAGTCTTATTGCGGGATTTAACCTCGCTGAGCTCCAACAGGTTGATGACTGCTTGGCCGAGCAACTTGTCTGGTCCCATGAGAGCCCGGTGCATTACGTGGACGTGCAATGTACACTTTTCTGTGTTACCGTTGTGGAAGAGCGGCAGCTTGAACGTGGCCTCCTCTTTCCACACCGGTGCCACGCTCTTCTCTGCCACCGATGTAGCGAATTTATCCTTGGCCACTTGCATGATGGCGTATGCGTCGTTGGTGCCATTTTTCCCCTTTATCTTCAGGCTTCTTGCCTGAAGCACAGTTACCTGTACGCTGGTGGGATACCACTGTTGACTCTGGTCTGATAGAGACATGGCTGACACCTGCGGTTTAGCCCTGGGAAAACAAATACCGTCTAGAAACGTTTCGGTTTGTTGAATAGAAGTAGATACATTTGTGTACCGCGACAGATAAAAACCTTTACGTATGGACAGTTTAGGAAACAGCTGAGTGGGCGTGGTATGTCGTACAGGACGTATGGCAGCTTTTTGCAAGACAGTTCATTTGCTGAGCCAAAGCACTCCCCCAGATTAATGGAGCTCGATTTTCGACCGAATGCCTGAGCTGAGAAATATACCACCCACATCATGAGGAAACATTATCCACTAAAAGAAGAATATAGTATAAGCTTCATATTAAAGTAGTAGGCTATTTAAACAAAGTTGGGGTTAATTTACATTTCCTGCTGAATACTGAAATTCGTTTAATCATGCTACAGTACAAAATAGAGCAGTGGTTTTCAAAATCGGGGTCATGACAAATATAGTATCCATACACATATTTTACCAGGTCCACTAATGAAAACACTATATTTATGTCCATGTCTTCATATAATCCAAAACAAGACAGTGTAGGTTTACACGTGAGAATAAGTAGCTACTACCAACCTGTCCCTGATAGCTAACCTACGTTATTTCAGTCAAGTCATCATGGCTGTAACGTCAGATCCAGTTTCACCAGGACAGGTCTAGTGAACCAGAAGCCTGCAGGCAATATCTACCCAAACACTCAGGCTAATTATTTTTTGGGAGCAGTGAGGAGGTCAAATGAATCTCTGCACAGCCACCACAATGTAGCTCCAATGTACCTTACCCATCTCTATTTACATCAAAACAATTCTTATTTCAGTTGAAATTGACTCTGAGCAGAATTAAAATAAACCAAAACGTTAGATTGGGTTTCTGATAGAGGTTAGGACACTCTAAAAAGGAAAGGTTCCTGGAGTATCCTTAAGGGGTTGTTCAAATTGAAACTGTGGGGGAACCCCAATAAGTTATTTGAAGAACCCTTTAAAAGGGTTATTCAAAGAACCCCTTTTAATGGATCCTCAAATAACCTTTTGAAGAACCTTTTGGGATTCATTTTTTAACTACCCCCTCCTCTCCTCTATTATTATTATTATTATTATTATTATTATTATTAATAATAATAATAATAATAATAATAATAATAATAATAATACCAATAATGCATATAATAATAATAATATGCATAACAATTACAACAATAACACACTATTTTAGTTGTCAGTGTTTATTATGATTTTAGTGGCAAAGCAGGCTTAAAAAATCAAAAGTTAAACTCCCAGCAGAGCCCAAGTCCAATGGGTATATCCTCTGGTGTGTTGATGTTGATGTGCTGATGTCCTCCGTATCCATAGCCAGAATGATTTTGCAGTGCATGGTGATCGAACAGGGTGTAGGGAGGGTGAAGTCTGGGAATCCAAATAATTGTAATTATACAGATGATTAACAAAACATGCATATGTCATTATTCATACCTTGGTTTTTGTGGTAAATGTGAATGAAAAAAACTGTTTTCATACACATACCTTGTCCATAATGTAGAGGCCTATGGGATATTCAATGAAGAGGTAAGGGAGGAGGATATACCAATACCAATTGACATACCTTTGTATGCCTCCTTGTCTGTATACCTGCAGACACAGACACAAAAGAGGGCAGTTCAGTCATCTGCACCCAATACAACTAGCCTTCAACATATTCTTATAGCCTATATATTCTTACCTCTTTGTTGATTGATATCCATTGAATTGTGTCAATTTTCTGTTTTAGAAAGATTTGCACAAATATGAAAATATAGATGGTATCATCATAAAACAATATCAATTTAGATCATACAAGGGACAAATCCTACCTTAAATTGAGACCTTTACATTTCAGTTAAGTGCCTGCACCTGCTATCCTTTCAAATTTAAATCCAAATGTTTCAGTTGGGCAGTTAGGTTCCTGCAAGAACCCTCACCAACAAAGAAGGTTCATTGATGAACCCCACCTCCTATGGGGTTCTTGGAAGAACCTTTTGGAGGCAATCTTCAGTGCCAAGAACCTTAAGAACTTTGAGGATTTTAGAAGAACTCTGTTTGAACCCCTAATTTTTAGAGTGTATATGCAAATCACAGAAATGAAAACAGGTATGATCTCTCTCTCTCTCTCATTTATCTTTTTATTCTCCCTCTCCTTCAATCTGTCAAGACACTGCTAGACCAGTTTAAAAGTCTGTACCAGAGAAGGTACATTTTGACTGTTGGAAGAGGACTGAATTGCCTCTTTGCAAAAAAAAAAAAAAAAAAACCCAATCATGGTTGGAGTTCTAAAGCGATCTCACAGTACAAGAAAAATATATTCTCAGTGTTATCCTGGAAACCCAATTGCCGGTTATGATTGATGCTTGAGGCATTCTGTATTGAAAGAGGTGGTTTATAATCATTCTGGATTCCTGCCCCTGCTGAATGTCCATCTTCCACATATACTTTCAGGGCTTTCTTATATCTCTCATGCAAATGACTCACCTCTTATTCAAAGGAGAGATCACTTTATTGTAATTTACATAATAACAGCATGATTTCTACTCAGATCATTCTATTTAAACTCATTAACTTACATAACAATGTAATATAACAGCCCAATATCTACAATAAATTCATAGCATGGTTACACATAATTAAATTATGTAGTTATCATAATACGATCGTTCATACACACTTTGGGTAAACTAACTCAGGCAGCAAATGTGTAGAGGTTGCCCCCTACTGCACACAAATATAATACACTAACAAATACATTTGACAAGGTTGTCCCCTCTCTCAAGCACAAGTAAAGCACATCATGTGTCTATGGTTTGGTCCGACAACAAGTAGCCTATGGATTATCATTGTAAAATGTGTCTATTCTGTGGGGAGATGGTGGTGGTAGTAGTATATTATATTTCTCAGAAGGCTAGAACCATGGCTGCTGTGTTGTAGCTCTGAGAGAAGGATCTGGGTCTTGGTAAGGCGTATCCAGTCCTCTGATATCTCTGGAGTGCATGTTTCCCAAAGTAGAGCTCTGTATCCACCCAGAAGTGGCCCTTCTTAAGCAGGCTCAGCCCACAATCCCTGCAGGTGAAACACTCCTGGTGTCTGTGATGCCCCTCTCTGATCTTGACGGCTTGAGTGCTGCAGAGAAAGGAACTCCATTACCATCACAGTCAATGGCACAGAAGATAAAATATTTACCCAGCTGCATGGATCTCAGAATGATACAGTACAGCATGCAACGTTACATTGACAGTTTGTACATTGAGATTAACTCTGTGTGAAAGCATCCGCTGGAAAAGCTCAAGTAAAAAAAATATAATACTTGGCGACTAGATCATGGCACACCCTGAGAAGAAAGTAAATATTTTACTGGAGACCAATAGCAGAGTCATATTCTTACACGAGAGTTCCACAGCTTTCACATGTGCGGAACCTCTGCACTCTCAACAGGGAGGGGTTGCTGGGTGGCCGTGTTGAAGGATTTTCTTGGGTACACAGGGCCACATCTGAACACACACATAGACCGCAGACAAAAGGAGAATCAGTCCTCTGCTCTGCCTAAATGTTTCACATTATTATTAACTCTGTCTCTGTATGTCCAAAATGGTAAAAGAAACCGGGATCTGAAGTGAATGCTACATTTTCTATAAATTGTAACGTGGAAAGACTAACTTCTACTGTCTTCCTCCAGCACCTCCTGTATCAAGTGGAAGGTGTTGGACTGGCGAGGGTCTGTGGGTGTCTCTCTCCTGCCCTGGATTCTCTGGTAGACCTCAGAGTCCAGAAGAAGATGCCTCTGCCTGGGGACTTCACAACTGTGACAAATGGCAGGGAGCGAAGAATAATGATGCAATTATGACATTTGTCATAAACTATGTACAGATGCCTTACCTTTAGGTACTAAAAATGCCAACTGTAATTGGAAGTCACCTGTCCCTGCATGGGACAGTATAAAGAGTAGCCACATTGGGCCAGCAAACTGCTTTAATAACAATCTGTTGGCTATGACCTTAAAATCTATTTACTATCCTGAATCAGTCACCTCTTGTTGTTGGGGACATGATCCATCTTCCTGACCACAGGAATCATGGAAGGCATGGTAGGTATGGTAGGAACGGAAGTCAAGGTAGGCAGAACGTTCTGTACAGGGGCTGTGCTGGAATATTGCTGTTTGCTGTAGTTCTCATTACTCTCTGGACTGGCTTCTAAACCTTACGATACAACAATCTGGAGACAATATTAAATACTTAAAAATATATTGTTGAATGCTTTCTAAACTGCCTATAGCTGCTTCAATATGTATTGAGTATAATCATATACACTACTAGTAAAAAGTTTTAGAACACCTACTCATTCAAGGGTTTTCCGTTTGTCTCTGCTCAAATAAGCAAAGACAAACGACAGTCCATCATTACTTTAAGACATGAAGGTCAGTCAATACAGAACATTTCAAGAACTTTGAAAGTTTCTTCAAGTGCAGTCGCAAAAACCATCAAGCGCTATGATGAAACGGGCTCTCATGAGGACCGCCACAGGAATGGAAGACCCAGATTTACCTCTGCTGCAGAGGATAAGTTCATTAGAGTTACCAGCCTCAGAAATTGCAGCTCAAATAAATGCTTCACATAGTTCAAGTAACAGACATATCTTGACATCAACTGTTCAGAGGAGAATGTGTGAATCAGGCCTTCATGGTTGAATTGTTGCAAAGAAACCACTACTAAAGGACACCAATAATAAGAAGAGACTTGCTTGGACCAAGAAACACGAGCAATGGACATTAGACCAGTGGTAATTGGTCCTTTGGTCTGGAGTTAAAATGTGAGACTTTTGGTTCCAACCGTTGTTTCTTTGTGAGACACGGTTTGGGTGAATGGATGATCTCTGCATGTGTATTTCCCACTGTAAAGCATGGAGGAGGAGGTGTTATGGTGTGGGGGTGCTTTGCTGGTGACACTGTCTGTGATTTATTCAGAATTCAAGGCACACTTAACCAGCATGGCTACCACAGCATTCTGCAGCGATACGCCATCCCATCTGGTTTGCGCTTAGTGGGACTATCATTTGTTTTTCAACAGGACAATAACCCAACACACCTCCAGGCTGTGTAAGGGCTATTTGACCAAGAAGGAGAGTGATGGAGTGCTGCATCAGACGACCTGGTCTCCACAATCCCCTGACCACAACCAAATTGAGATGGTTTGGGATGAGTCAGACCGCAGAGTGAAGGAAAAGCAGCCAACAAGTGCTCAGCATGTGGGAACTCCTTCAAGACTGTTGGAAAAGCATTCCAAGTGAAGCTGGTTGAGAGAATGCCAAGAGTGTGCAAAGCTATCAAGGCAAAGGATGGCTATATGAAGAATCTCAAATATAACATATATTTTGATTTGTTTAACACTTTTTTGGTTACTACATGATTCCATATGTGTTATTTCATAGTTTTGATGTCTTCACTATTATTCTACAATGTAGAAAATAGTAAAAATAAAAACCCTTGAATGAGTAGGTGTTCTAAAACTGTTGACAGGTAGTGTGTATGTATATATATACAGTGGGGAGAACAAATATTTGATACACTGCCGATTTTGCAGGTTTTCCTACTTACAAAGCATGTAGAGATCTGTAATTTTTATCATAGGTACAAAAATCCAGAAAAATCCAGAAAATCACATTGTATGATTTTTAAGTAATTAATTTGCATTTTATTGCATGACATAAGTATTTGATACATAAGAAAAGCAGAACTTAATATTTGGTACAGAAACCTTTGTTTGCAATTACAGAGATCATACGTTTCCTGTAGGTCTTGACCAGGTTTGCACACACTGCAGCAGGGATTTTGGCCCACTCCTCCATACAAACATTCTCCAGATCCTTCAGGTTTCGGGGCTGTCGCTGGGCAATACGGACTTTCAGCTCCCTCCAAAGATTTTCTATTGGGTTCAGGTCTGGAGACTGGCTAGGCCACTCCAGGACCTTGAGATGCCTCTTACGGAGCCACTCCTTAGTTGCCCTGGCTGTGTGTTTTGGGTCGTTGTCATGCTGGAAGACCCAGCCACGACCCATCTTCAATGCTCTTACTGAGGGAAGGAGGTTGTTAGCCAAGATCTCACGATACATGGCTCCATCCATCATCCCCTCAATACGGTGCAGTCGTCCTGTCCCCTTTGCAGAAAAGCATCCCCAAAGAATGATGTTTCCACCTCCATGCTTCACGGTTGGGATGGTGTTCTTGGGGTTGCACTCATCCTTCTTCTTCCTCCAAACAAGGCGAGTGGAGTTTGGACCAAAAAGATCTATTTTTGTCTCATCAGACCACATGACCTTCTCCCATTCCTCCTCTGGTTCATCCAGATGGTCATTGGCAAACTTCAGACGGGCCTGGACATGCGCTGGCTTGAGCAGGGGGACCTTGCGTGCGCTGCAGGATTTTAATCCATGACGGCGTAGTGTGTTACTAATGGTTTTCTTTGAGACTGTGGTCCCAGCTCTCTTCAGGTCATTGACCAGGTCCTGCTGTGTAGTTCTGGGCTGATCCCTCACCTTCCTCATGATCATTGATGCCCCACAAGGTGAGATCTTGCATGGAGCCGCAGACCGAGGGTGATTGACCGTCATCTTGAACTTCTTCCATTTTCTAATAATTGTGCCAACAGTTGTTGCCTTCTCACCAAGCAGCTATTGTCCTGTAGCCCATCCCAGCCTTGTGCAGGTCTACAATTGTATCCCTGATGTCCTTACACAGCTCTCTGGTCTTGGCCATTGTGGAGAGGTTGGATTCTGTTTGATTGAGTGTGTGGACAGGTGTCTTTTATACAGATAACGAGTTCAAACAGGTGCAGTTAATACAGGTAATGAGTGGAGAACAGGAGGGCTTCTTAAATAAAAACTAACAGGTCTGTGAGAACCGGAATTCTTACTGGTTGGTAGGTGATCAAATACTTATGTCATGCAATAAAATGCAAATTAATTACTTAAAAATCATACAATGTGATTTTCTGGATTTTTGTTTTAGATTCCGTCTCTCACAGTTGAAGTGTACCTATGATAAAAATTACAGACCTCTACATGCTTTGTAAGTAGGAAAACCTGCAAAATCGGTAGTGTATCAAATACTTGTTCTCCCCACTGTATATACAGTGAGGGAAAAAAGTATTTGATCCCCTGCTGATTTTGTAAGTTTGCCCACTGACAAAGAAATTATCAGTCTATAATTTTAATGGTAGGTTTATTTGAACAGTGAGAGACAGAATAACAACCAAAAAATCCAGAAAAACGCATGTCAAAAATGTTATAAATTGATTTGCATTTTATTGAGGGAAATAAGTATTTGACCCCCTCTCAATCAGAAAGATTTCTGGCTCCCAGGTGTCTTTTATACAGGTAACGAGCTGAGATTAGGAGCACACTCTTAAAGGGAGTGCTCCTAATCTCAGCTTGTTACCTGTATAAAAGACACCTGTCCACAGAAGCAATCAATCAATCAGATTCCAAACTCTCCACAATGCCCAAGACCAAAGAGCTCTCCAAGGATGTCAGGGACAAGATTGTAGACCTACACAAGGCTGGAATGGACTACAAGACCATCGCCAAACAGCTTGGTGAGAAGGTGACAACAGTTGGTGTGATTATTTGCAAATGGAAGAAACACAAAATAACTGTCAATCTCCCTCGGCCTGGGGCTCCATGCAAGATCTCACCTTGTGGAGTTGCAATGATCATGAGAACGGTGTGGAATCAGCCCAGAACTACACGGGAGGATCTTGTCAATGATCTCAAGGCAGCTGGGACCATAGTCACCAAGAAAACAATTGGTAACACACTACGCCGTGAAGGACCGAAATCCTGCAGCGCCCGCAAGGTCCCCCTGCTCAAGAAGGCACATTTACCGGCCCGTCTGAAGTTTGCCAATGAACATCTGAATGATTCAGAGGAGAACTGGATGAACGTGTTGTGGTCAGATGAGACCAAAATCGAGCTCTTTGGCATCAACTCAACTCGCCGTGTTTGGAGGAGGAGGAATGCTGCCTATGACCCCAAGAACACCATCCCCACCGTCAAACATGGAGGTGGAAACATTATGCTTTGGGGGTGTTTTTCTGCTAAGGGGACAGGACAACTTCACCGCATCAAAGGGACGATGGATGGGGCCATGTACTGTCAAATCTTGGGTGAGAACCTCCTTCCCTCAGCCAGGGCATTGAAAATGGGTTGTGGATGGGTATTCCAGCATGACAATGACCCAAAACACACAGCCAAGGCAACAAAGGAGTGGCTCAAGAAGAAGCACATTAAGGTCCTGGAGTGGCCTAGCCAGTCTTCAGACCTTAATCCCATAGAAAATCTTTGGAGCGAGTTGCCAAACGTCAGCCTCGAAACCTTAATGACTTGGAGAAGATCTGCAAAGAGCAGTGCGACAAAATCCCTCCTGAGATGTGTGCAAACCTAGTGGCCAACTACAAGAAACGTCTGACCTCGGTTATTGCCAACAAGGGTTTTGCCACCAAGTACTAAGTCATGTTTTGCAGAGGGGTCAAAAACGTATTTCCCTCATTAAAATGCAAATCAATATATTAACAATTTTGACATGCGTTTTTCTGGATTTTTGTTGTTGTTATTCTGTCTCTCATTGTTCAAATAAACCTACCATTAAAATTATAGACTGATCATGTCTTTGTCAGTGGGCAAACGTACAAAATCAGCAGGGGATCAAATACTTTTTTCCCTCACTGTATATATATATATATATACAGTGGGGAAAAAAAGTATTTAGTCAGCCACCAATTGTGCAAGTTCTCCCACTTAAAAAGATGAGAGAGAAATCACATTGTAGTATTTTTAATGAATTTATTTGCAAATTATGGTGGAAAATAAGTATTTGGTCACCTACAAACAAGCAAGATTTCTGGCTCTCACAGACCTGTAACTTCTTCTTTAAGAGGCTCCTCTGTCCTCCACTTGTTACCTGTATTAATGGCACCTGTTTGAACTTGTTATCAGTATAAAAGACACCTGTCCACAACCTCAAACAGTCACACTCCAAACTCCACTATGGCCAAGACCAAAGAGCTGTCAAAGGACACCAGAAACAAAATTGTAGACCTGCACCAGGCTGGGAAGACTGAATCTGCAATAAGTAAGCAGCTTGGTTTGAAGAAATCAACTGTGGGAGCAATTATTAGGAAATGGAAGACATACAAGACCACTGATAATCTCCCTCGATCTGGGGCTCCACGCAAGATCTCACCCCGTGGGGTCAAAATGATCACAAGAACGGTGAGCAAAAATCCCAGAACCACACGGGGGGACCTAGTGAATGACCTGCAGAGAGCTGGGACCAAAGTAACAAAGCCTACCATCAGTAACACACTACGCCGCCAGGGACTCAAATCCTGCAGTGCCAGACGTGTCCCCCTGCATAAGCCAGTACATGTCCAGGCCCGTCTGAAGTTTGCTAGAGTGCATTTGGATGATCCAGAAGAGGATTGGGAGAATGTCATATGGTCAGATGAAACCAAAATATAACTTTTTGGTAAAAACTCAACTCGTCGTGTTTGGAGGACAAAGAATGCTGAGTTGCATCCAAAGAACACCATACCTACTGTGAAGCATGGGGGTGGAAACATCATGCTTTGGGGCTGTTTTTCTGCAAAGGGACCAGGACGACTGATCCATGTTAAGGAAAGAATGAATGGGGCCATGTATCGTGAGATTTTGAGTGAAAACCTCCTTCCATCAGCAAGGGCATTGAAGATGAAACGTGGCTGGGTCTTTTAGCATGACAATGATCCCAAACACACCGCCCGGGCAACGAAGGAGTGGCTTCGTAAGAAGCATTTCAAGGTCCTGGAGTGGCCTAGCCCGTCTCCAGATCTCAACCCCATAGAAAATCTTTGGAGGGAGTTGAAAGTCTGTGTTGCCCAGCAACAGCCTCAAAACATCACTGCTCTAGAGGAGATCTGCATGGAGGAATGGGCCAAAATACCAGCAACAGTGTGTGAAAACCTTGTGAAGACTTACAGAAAACGTTTCACCATAATTTGCAAATAAATTCATAAAAGATCCTACAATGTGATTTTCTGGAAAAAAAATCTCATTTTGTCTGTCATAGTTGACGTGTACCTATGATGAAAATTACAGGCCTCTCTTATCTTTTTAAGTGGGAGAACTTGCACAATTGGTGGCTGACTAAATACTTTTTTCCCCCACTGTGTATATATATATATATATATATATATATATATATATATATATATATATATATATATATATATATATATATATATGAATTCATATCAGAAATATATAACAAACATCTGTTTCAATAGATCTCTATACAGTAAAGAAAGACACCAACCTACCTACCTGTATATGAGCAGTTTTAGCTGTGGTCTGGAGCTCTTGATGTTGTTCTGAGCCTGCACATGCAGCATACCTGCAGTACTCTCTCCATTTATCTCCATTACGACCCACTCGCATGTTAGCCAGCTCAGCCTTGATTGACACATTCACCTGAGGCCACAGATAGGGAGCGAGCTTGAGAATAGATGCTGATATGTCACTAAATTACGAATGGCTTATGATATCTGTTCATTTGTTTAGTTTGTGTGTCAGGACAGTCTGTATTTGCAGCTACCTTGGTGACAAAGTCAGTGCCCTCCTGAAGTCACTCCCCCCGGAGAGGCGGAAGCCCCATGGAGGAGGTCAATTCAGGGTCACCACTGTCATCAGGGCCACAGGTCAGAGGTCACTGTGGCACCTGGAGAGATGACGCTAAGTAAATCCAGTGACCTGACAAATGCAGATACAGCAAAAGAGGTGGTTACGGCAGCTGAGCGGCCATGCACTTGTGAGATAGGGAGCCTCCACCCAAGAACATCTGTACATGAAGAGATTGTATCTCTGTCAGTAAGTAGACTTACTGGTATACACTAGAGTAATATATAACATACTGTAGAGTCAAAACTTATGCCTGCGGTATTTTACTATAATTTAGACCTATGATATTACTTTTTCAATGTCTGTCTAATAACCCATTGTTATTATTGAAGTGCTGCCCTCCTCTCCCAGATGATTTACAAATGCTTATTGTTAATAGCACAATACTCAAAAGGACAAAACTAATGTAGTCTAAACAACATTAGAGATATGTCAAAGGAATAGCCAATAATTATTTATTTGCCAAATATGAATAGTGCATTTAAATTCAAACAAAGATTAATCTCACCTGCATTGCCATGCCCAGACAGAAAGCTTGCAGACAGCTGAAGACAAATATAAAGAACCACGACCTGTATCCGGGTCTAATCCCTTAGTTGAGAGACTGCCCTGAGCCAATTAGGGAATTGATGACGTGCAGGATCACTTACAGAGTGTGATAATGCCGCGTTCATGAACTAGTCGGAACTAGGATACTCGGAAATGTCCTACATGTTGATTCGTTGAACATGGCACTAGTATAATACATGTCGGACATTTCCGAGTTTCCTAGTTCCGACTAGAACATGAACGCGGCAGGCTGCTACTCTGTCCGGTGTGCGTCTCCAGTTTAGCTCAATAGCATCAGTAAGTGTGAGTGAATAAAACTAAAACAATACAAAAGGGAAAAGAGGGTACCGAAATGGAAAATGCCTATCTGTTAACAGAAATGTTTTAATGAAATGTGCGAGTTACTTTCGTCGTCACTAATTGGCACAATGGGGAGGGGGCTGATCATTCGTGGTGGACGACATGTTTTCTGTTGCTTTGTTACATTTTGACAAAATGAACTTGCTGTTTTTTCCAGAATATAGTAGGCTATGAATAACATTTCCTTAGGGCTATCGAAAGTGACCTTGCTGATAGCTACTTTATTGAGGAAAAAAGTACTTACTATGACTGTGATATGTTGTTGTCCTACCTAGCTATCTTAAGATGTAAGTCACTCTGGGTAAGAGCGTCTGCTAAATTATTAAAATGTAAATAAAAATAAAAAGAACGGTGTACCTTTGAAGATAAATTCACTTTTATTTACATGTGGATTTATTTATCATTTAGTGAAACAATTAACACATCTGTACATTGACAAAGTAAAGGCCTACAGTACATCAAGTAGTTGCCTAAAGCCTATTCATATCACAAAACATAGCCTGGGCCTGTTATTTAAGTGATATTGTAAACTGGGTGGTTCGAGCCCTGAATGCTGATTGGCTGACAGCTGTGTTATATCAGACAATATACCACAGATAAGACAGAACATTTATTTTTACTGCTCTAATTATGTTGGTAACCAGTTTATAATAGCAATAAGGCACCTCGGGGGTTTGTGATATATGGCCAATATACCATGGCTAAGGGCTGTTTCAAGGCACGCTGCGTTGCGTCGTGCTTAAGAACAGCCCTTAGCCGTGGTATATTGTCCATATACCACACCTCCTCGGGCCTTATTGCTTAAATGCCCTCAAAGCCAGTGTTTGGAGGATATATTGGCACAGGTGTTATTAGGCCCGAGATTAAGTCAAGGGCCTGCAAACCGTGCCTTCGGAAAGTATTCAGACCCCTTGACTTTTTCCACATTTTGTTAGGTTACAGCCTTATTCTAAAATTGATTAATTCAAAATGTTTCCTCATCAATCTACACACAATACCCCATAATGACAAAGCAAAAACAGGTGAACCTTCGCCCCAGTCTGAGGTCCTGCGTGCTCTGGAGCAGGTTTTCATCAAGGATCTCTCTGTACTTTTCTCCGTTCATCTTTGCCTCGATCCTGACTAGTCTCCCAGTCACTGCCACTGAAAAACATCCCAAACAGGCTATGTGCCTTTTACTGAGGAGTGGCTTCCGTCTGGCCACTCTACCATAAAGGCCTGATTGGTAGAGTGCTGCAGAGATGGTTGTCCTTCTGGAAGGTTCTCATATCTCCACAGAGGAACTCTGGAGCTCTGTCAGAGTGACTATCGGGTTCTTGGTCACCTCCCTGACCAAGACCCTTCTCCCCTGATTGCTCAGTTATGCCGGGCGGCCACCTCTAGGAAGAGTCTTGGTGGTTCCAAACTTCTTCCATTTAAGAATGATGGAGGCCACTGTGTTCTTGGGGACCTTCAATGCTGCAGAAATGTCCCCTGTAGCTCAGTTGGTAGAGCATGGCCCTTGCAACGCCAGGGTTGTGGGTTCGTTTCCCACGGGGGGCCAGTATGAAAATGTATGCACTCACTAACTGTAAGTCGCTCTGGATTAGAGCGTCTGCTAAATGACTAAAATGTAAATGTAAATGTTTTGGTACCCTTCCCCAGACCTGTGCCTCGACACAATCCTGTCTCGGAGCTCTACGGACAATTCCTTCGACCTCATGGCTTGGTTTTTGCTCTGAAATACACTGTCAACTGTGGGACCTTATATAGACAGGTGTGTGCCTTTCCAAATCATGTCCAATCAATTGAATTTACAAGGTGGACTCCAATCAAGTTGTAGAAACATCTCAAGGATGATCAATGTAAACAGGATGCACCTACAGAGGGTAGTGCGTACGGCCCAGTACATCACTGGGGCCAAGCTTCCTGCCATCCAGAATCTATATACTAGGAGGTGTCAGAGGAAAACCCAAAGAATTGTCAAAGACTCCAGTCACCCAAGTCATAGACTGTTCTCTCTGCTACCGCACGGCAAGCAGTACCGGAGCGCCAAGTCTAGGACCAAAAGGCTCCTTAACAGCTTCTACCCCCAAGCCATAAGACTGCTGAACAATTAATCAAATGGCCACCCGGACTTTGTTTTTACACTGCTGCTACCCGCTGTCTATTAAAACATTTACATTTATGTCATTTAGCAGACGCGCTTATCCAGAGCGACTTACAATTAGTGAGTGCATACATTTTTCATACTGGCATATTATCTATGCATAGTCACTTTACCCCTACCTACATGTACAAATTACCTCGACTAACCTGTACCCCCGCACTTTTACTCGGTACCGGTACCCCCTGTATATAGCCTCGTTGTTGTTATTTTATTGTGTTACTTTTTTTGGGGGGGGGGGGACTTTAGTATATTGGGTAAATATTTTGTTAACTCTTTCATGAACTGCATTGTTGGTTAAAGGCTGTATTGGGTGCATGTGACAAATAAAGTTTGATTTGATTTGACCTGAGCTCAATTTCGAGTCTCATAGCAAGGAGTCTGAATACTTATGGGGTATTCTGTGTAGATTGCTGAGGATTACAATAAAAAATAAAAAAATTAGAATAAGGCTGTAATGTAACAAAATGTGGAAAAAGTCAAGGGGTCTGAATACTTTCCGAAGGCACTGTATCCTTCAAACACCTGCTTCGAGGGCATTATCACTTTTACACAAGGGGTAACCAACATATTCAAATTATTTACATATTTTCATTGAAAACATTATTTAGATGAATTTATTCATACTATTTCATCCTTCCACAAGATATAGTCCCGACACAAAACTAGGGTTGCTACCCAAGCCAGCTGGTCGTTCGTTCTATCGGTTCGGTTGCCAGAGACGCGACCCAGTCATTAAGTATTTTTGTTCTGTATCTATGGGTTCTTTTGCCACACTGGCTGGCAATGTTCTTATCCCTTGCTTGCTAGCTAGCCAACTATGGCTAATTTACGGTCACGTCAAACAGTGCAGCCAGAATAACAACAAAGTAGCTGCATTTGCATTTGTTTAAGCTGTTTTCTAGTAACATTTATTTTGATACATCCATAACAATGAGCTAATGATGCACGATTTTACCTGGCATAGAAAATGTGCTCTCTCATCAGGACACTGTTGTTCAAAGGAGCTAGCCAACAATACAGCTAACACAATCACTTCAAACTGAAGCTGGAAAGACTGTAAACTAGCGGCACTTCGTTTCATTTTACCAGTTTTCTTTTGACATTTCTTTGTATATATACATAAAAATGATGCTGATTCATGATTTCGACTGGCTGAGAAAATCTTCCTGCCTGTCTGTCTCATCCCGACCCCTAGAAGTTCATTACTATGGGACAACTGGAGATCGTATTTCAATGCTGAAACAATGTTGCAAATGTCAGGGAGACAGACAGCAAGGTTTATACAAATCTCCGCTTTTGAAAACCAATTGCTACTCTAAAAGAAATGGGAGATAATGTGATCTATGCTTTTATAGTTGAGATCAAGTTTATAAATTGTCTGGCTGGGCTGATGAGACAGTGGATTGCACAGTGAGATAGAACAGAGTAAATAGGCATTTCAAGGTCAGCTTTAACCGGTGGTAACTTGTGGAATAGAAACCGTCTGGAATGCGGTTTTAACCAATCAGCGTCCAGGATTAGACCCACCCATTGTATAAAGGCCTACACAACATAAACAACAGTAAAAAATGTATTGTTTTAAGAACGTAAGGAAAATGTTAACATTATTATGTACAAATATAACGCTGCTTTGATAATGTTTGCTTTTCTCCCTCCTTTCAATTTTTGTCAGTCAACTTTCTGCCCACTTGTCCTCGCTGTCTGAGCTGTCGCTATCTGATTGACAGGCGACACAGTGGGCAGGTTCCGAACTCGGCGGTGACGCGCACTGCGCAGCAATAACACATGCAGCGGTGCCCACAGGGGAGGACCTCAGAAGCTCTCAAGGATAGACACACAGCGCAATCTTCAGCCAAGTCAGACTCTACAGTGTAGGATAGATAAACAGCAAGAAAAAACAAGACAGAAGTTGCCAAGAGAACTACATGGTAAATAGACAACAGTACCTTTAAAGAACAAGGTCAACAGAAATCCATATTATTCTGAACATTGAAATGAAACTGTATTATAACCATATACATTTTATTGCTTCACACTCCCCAGCCTAAATGACTTTAAGAATGCAGTTGGTTACTAACCTGGAGAAGAGTGCATCTGTTTGGTAGTGATAGGGTCAGTAGGGAGCCTGTTGCCCCGAGGGGTGCAACAGGGATGACCCTTGTTCACACACATGCAGCTGTCCTCATAAGACACAGAGGGAGGAGGAGGGACAGGGCAGGACCTCCGCATATGAAATATTTTTTTCTTCTTTGATCCTGAGGGATGGGAGAATAACATAAAGCACTGATCAGTTAAGGAGTATTGTGATACAATCTGGTGCAAAATAGATTTTTACATTTGATCAACCAAGAAATTCACCAAATGCCTCACCCAATAAGAGCACAGCTCTGGTCTGCCCGTAGACATCTATAACAGCCCAGAGGGGGCTTCTCACATCCACCCCCTTCAGGAGCAGGTACTTCACACGGTTTGGCCCCTCGTACACCAGCACCCCTTGAGGGGTCACCCAGAAGCGGAGCTCTGCCCCTGGCATGTTGAGGCTGGAGGGCACGGGGGCTGCCCAGTACCCGTAGGTGGTGGCGAGGTCAGGGATGGCCATGGCAGGGGGGAAGAGTGGCCCACAGGAGGAGGGGGGAATGGAAGTGAAGCCCAGCCGCAAAGCTCCATTCCAGTGCTGGTCACAAAGCTCCACCCGCAGATGTATCTTCTCCTGGATCCTGACTGGACGACTGCTGAATGTCAGACCATTCTGGAAGGTCTCCCTGGCCCTCTCCACATACCTACCTCCCAGACCCAGACACACCTGGGTCCCTAATACCCCTGTATGGAAGGACAGGGGCCCCAGACAGTGACGCCCATGGGTTGGACAAAACTCTAAAGGGAGGGAGGAAAATTATTTCCTTTAGAAAACTTTAAGATAACAGAGGTTTAAACATTCTCGCAGATTGCAGACAAGTCAAGACAAGTGTGAAGATCAAGTTTATGGGTTTCTTGTGCTTAATACCTTTATCACATTTAATACACTTTATTCTTTATTTTATGGTCTTGACTACACTGAAGCCACAATGTCCTTGAGTTTATGGTTTTATACCGAAGAGCTCACTGATCCTTTAGTTTCATTATCACTTGCTAAATTCCAAACGTTATATCAATGATTCACTTGTAGAAAAAAGAAGGAAGGGAAGCACTGCTTAGGTACACGATAGTAGGCTTTTGTAGACAGAAGGGGTACATTTGTCATCAAAAATAGAGGACCAAGGCACTCTTCATATAATTAATTAAAATGCCTTTATTTTTATGACATGTTCAATGGAAACAAAGATTAAAACCTCTGACGATAATATAATAAGATATAATAACACAATGTCCTCTTTTGAACAGCATTTTCCAATCAACCCTGATTTGAAGAGGGAATGGTTACAGAATTCATTGGACAACACCTAGTAAGCAATACTATACACATTAGAAAGTGAAATAGATATGTTATCAAAAAGGCAAATCAAGGCTAGAAGCATCAGAGCCCCTAGAAAATTAGTTCTAACCTTGAATATGACTGGGCAAAGTGGTGAGAATAGGAGAGCCATCTTTTTTATAGTACATTAGATCACATCAAACATGGACCACAGCAGTTTAAACATAGCAGAGGGCAAGAATGCAATATGTCTACTAGTAGATGACAGCAAAGGGACCTCTCACGACCCTACAGGAAAAGTGAGAAATCAATATCTTCATTTAAACCAGGGTACTTAGTGGCCTGTAGTTTGTAAATCCAAAAATGTTCCCTTTATTGTAGCTGTTTAAGACAGTCCCCTTTTCTAATTGAGGCCAGAACATGTTCAATACCCATAGCTTGTAGGGAGGCAGGGTTACCATGGTGTAAGGACTTGTAATGCTTTGCCGTGGGGTAGTCTTTGTTGACTACCGGTATTGCGTACTTGTGTTCCGCTAAGCGGTCTTGAAGGCGTTTCTTTGTGATTATTTACATTATTGTATGCAAACCATTTCTAGGAAACATCCTCCTGGTAACCTGCTGCACATGATTAAGAAGGTCCCGTGGGAAGAAAGTTTTCTATAGGCCTAATGAAATTGATGTTATAATTAGTGTACTGCATATTATGACTCCACAAACATTCCGATATCTGCGCTTGTATGGTATTACCTGGATGCATTTCACAGCAGCTTTCATTAAATAATTTGGTCTCTTATTATTACTTTTGCAGATTTAGAATTGGATGTTCATTTTATACCTGCACCATCTACACACACACAACAATGGGAATCTATGTATTGTTGTTAACCTCATCTCACATAGATTACCATTTCATTTTAGAATAGCAATTTTTGTTTGTTTGTTTTTACTAATGATGTGTATATACCCTAGATCACTGACACCGAGCAACCATTTTAGTACTCCTCCTCCATTGTAAACATTTTTATTTTGGAAGCTATTAAAATGGATTCAATAATGACCTACACACGTTGTTTTTGAAAAGTATATTCTATTGCAGACACCTCAATGCTTATGTTTAAATTATATTATATATATTGGGGCGGCAGGTAGCTTAGTGGTTAAGAGCGTTGTGCCAGTAACCGAAAGGTCGCTGGTTCTAATCCCCGAGCCGACTAGGTGAAAAATCTGTCGATGTGCCCTTGAGCAAGGCACTTAACCCTAATTGCTCATGTAAGGTCGCTCTGGATAAGAGCGTCTGCTAAAATGTAAATGTAAAATATTGTTATTATGGCTTAGGATAAATAGACTCGTTCAAAAAGAAACTACACCGAGAATGTTTACAGCATAGATATTAAACTGATATATTGTCTATGGTTTATACACCGGGCATCATAAACATCACATGGAGTTCCTGTATCCCTGCAGTTTTACTCTCTAGAAAACATGCAGATTAGTTAACTTAGTCCTTTTTGTGCAAAACAGTAGATATATTGTTGAAAAAGAAAATAGTTGTACTTTCAAAAAAAAAGAAATCTGTACATGTGTTATATCTGTCTATACATATGTTGATGAACACATCCAAATGTGAATAATATGAATATTGATCCTACTGTTCTTATTCTCCATGGAGTCTTCAGACAGGACTGGTACAGTAGCAGGGCAGCAGTGATGTTGGCTTGTCTTAGTGTGACAGGTGTTTATAGTTTTGTTTTGAGACGGAAAAACCTCTTCAGTTTAAGGTTGGGGGAGTGGCATGAAAACAGAGCCTCACCTACCCACTCTTCTCCGCCCCAACCCCTCCTCTATCATGTTTGGTTTTTGCTCAGCAAAATTACTTTGCAAAATGTCTGCTATTACTGTTTTATATTATTTCTGCAATGAAGAAGAGGAGTTGTATCATGGATTGATGTTTATGAGTACAGTGGCTTGCGGAAGTATTCACCCCCTTGGCATTTTTCCTATTTTGTTGCCTTACAACCTGGAATTAAAATTGATTTTTGTGGGGTTTGTATCATTTCATTTACACAACATGCCTACCACTTTGAAGATGCAAAATATTTTTGGGGTGAAACAAACAAGAACTAAGACAAAAAAACAGAAAACTTGAGTGTGCATAACTATTCACCCCCCCCAAAGTCAATACTTTGTAGAGCCACCTTTTGCAGCAATTACAGCTGCAAGTCTCTTGGGGTATGTCTCTATAAGGTTGGCACATCTAACCACTGGGATTATTGCCCATTCTTCAGGCAAAACTGCTCCAGCTCCCTCACGTTGGATGGGTTCCGCTGGTGTACAGCAATACATATGCACGCACCACTTTTCCGTTATTTTTTTCATTCCACTTCACCAATTTTGACTATTTTGTGTATGTCCATTACATGAAATCCAAATAAAAATCTATTTAAATTACAGGTTGTAATGCAACAAAATAGGAAAAACGCCAAGGGGGATGAATACTTTTGCAAGGCACTGTACCACAAAAATCATGATGTATGTTTTTGACAATTCCTGACAGACTTTTTTTATTCACTAGTTTTATCTTAATGTATACAGCATTTAGATAAAATGGGGCGATACAGAATTTAAATGGAGCTGTGAAGAGCCATTATGATGTGTTTGCTGTGTTCTGTGCTCTGACCTGAGACAGAGGCAATACAGACAGCACAGTTAAACACACCAGAACAACCTTCAGTGGCTATCAAATCTTGAACCTGTCTTCAGATGAAAGAGCCAAGCTTGTTCACACACTAAACATGACACGCAACCAGGTAAAGGTACTGTACTGTAGATAGCATCAACACTTACACAGAGTCATTAATGAATGATAGTCAAACATCCTACTGGGTACAGAAGTAATTTCAACGTCAAGTTGAAATGACCTGGAAACAATGTTGATTCAACCAGTCTTTGCCCAGTAGGATCCTTTCAGTTTCAAATTTACTCAGTATGACTGTCTAACACAAACAACAGTGCCAATAGATAGATCCATAAAACATCAGCTGGCTTTAGTGATATGAAATCATGAGTACTGATTTCCTGTAAACTGAGACGGCTTCAGTTCAAGTAAATCTGTTTGCTGCATGGCCCCACATAACTTAGTCTTTCACACTTACACTCATTTTATCCCCATAAATAGTTACAGAGCCTCTGGAAACTGGTTTGTTGCATGGCCCCTTGAGAAACTGTAAAAAAATAAAATAAAATAAAAAGAGGTGGGAAGGAATACAGTGTTGGGGGTGCTACAGGCTATACTGGGTGGGGGTCGGGATGTGCGGGCGGCTCGGACTGGCTGAGTGGTCTGGCCGATCTACTGGTCACTCTTTATTCAAAACAAAGGATCTTTGTGGCGGGTGGATGGGTTGGGCGACACGGATTGCTCAGGCCGGCGGCACGTCTTGGACCCTGCCATTTTTTGCCAGCGTCATATGGAAGCATTGGGATATGCGTGCACATGGAGTTGTGTGAGGGAGGGGCGGACATGTGTCTAGGCGGGTGGGCGTGTGTATGCTTGTCCGCGCGCATGGTCACTTCCTACCCTAACCACGCACAGTTCGCCACTGAGTGTGTTGTTGACTAAACATGTTTTACTAGCCTGAGTTATAATTATTTGTGTGATTGGTGTAGGCTTACCTTCCCTGGGGGCTTCCGATTCGAGATCGGATCCGAACGTACCTGCACTTACATCCTCTGTTCTGTCTCCCTGTCTGGTTGCTTCTACCTCAGAGCTCCCACCCTCATCAGACTGTGAGGCTGTCTGAGACTCCGGCCCATTCATCATCCATGATGGATACTACGGCTGGCTCGGGTCCATCGGCCCCACCGCCCTTCGGCCCTCGAGGGGTTTGCGAAACCACTCGAGGCGAAAGAACGGCAGGACCTCCTCAGCCATTGCACCAGCTGTCGTCATCGGCAGTTCTATGGTAAGAAACATCATGGTTCCTGGGGCAAAAACCCTCTGCTATCCTGGAGCACGAGTACAGGACATTACAAGGCTGCTTCCGACCGTTCTATGACAGCTGCCGGGAGCTGACACTGTTGTAGTCCATGTGGGGTCAAACAACATTAGGAGGGCTAGCTCGGAACGTCTGAAAATTGATTTTAAAGAACTGATTCTAGCTCTGAAAGATTCCAAAAAGCAGCCAAGTCTGGTACCATCGTTCGGCCGCGGGTGTGAAAGATTCAGCAGGCTACTGGCATTACACATCTGGCTAAAATATTACTGTAGCTCTGCTGGAATCACTTTTATAGATAACCTTGAAACAGAAGATGCTCTACAGGAATGACGGAGTCCATCCAAATAATCTTGGCTCCTGGATTTCAAGGCTGCGTTGAGACAATGACTTATCAATGACCCAAGCCCAGCTGCAAATGTACATTGTCCCAGGGGTGTTGGCAGACACAATGTAAGTAACTTAATTTAT